TTTAGTGGTATAGTCATATATGATAATTATTCTATTAGTGATAATTTTGATTTCATTTACTATTAATTAATAAAAATAATATTTGCATCATTTAATGAAATTAATTAAATTTGAGCTTAATTTTTGTAAATACGAAAATTGAATGGATAGAAGTGTTAATAAGACAAAAATATTAAATAATTAAGTAATGACATCAGTGCAGTAAAAAAATCTACGTTTACCTCAATTATTTCTTGCACTATTGGATGTACACGTAGTGTTTCACTGAAATAATAAACTTATTTATTAAAAATTATTATTAATATTTTAATTTTGCAAAAAATGTTTTGCCCCTTCTAATTAGCAATAAACTTTTCCCATAACTTTTAAAATTTTTAAAAAATGCAAATTTTCTAAACGAATATTTTTCAAACAAGTGTGAACTAATCAATGATCATTAAAAATTAAAATTTAATCAAATTGCATAATTAAATTTACACAATACCTTATTGATGGTATTGATTGACCTTTCAACTCATTGATTTCTGCCATTAGTATTTCAATGCTAAAAAATGCTAGTTGACAGCGTATTTATCTTAAATATGAATAAATGCCTGCATTTGATTATAAATTACTGAGAAATCAAATACTTATAAATGAGCTTAAAACTAATTAATGATTAATTATAGAATAATTTAAGTTCCTGTAATAATTATTAAACAGTACAAATACTCAGTTCATTAATTCAGTTGAAAATATTACTTACATTTATTCCCAAATAATATTTTCACTGTTTACTAATTATATTTCAATTTTTGAAAAAAACAAAAAGCAAAAAAAATAATAATTTTTCAATTTTCATTCAGATCACTTTCCAGTTTTTAATATGTTTAAATAATATTTCTTCTATTTTCACTTTTACTTTTTTCTCAAATTCTCATTTTCTTCCTGAATTTTGCATTCATCGAGACCATTTTTAGAATCAGTCTGAAAAATTCTGAATTTTATTTTAGCTAATAATAACATTTCAAGTATTACAACACTAATTATGTGCAATTAGTTTAAATAAACTGACTAATTTATGATATGTTATAAGATTATCACTCAAAAATCTTAGAAAGCCTTACTGCTTATGTACCGAGTAATCAATCAAAAAATTTGAATATCTTTTATTGATCTGTTGAGTAATTAAACAAAAAATTTGAATATCTTTTATTGATCTATTGAGTAATTAATCAAAAAATTTGAATATCTTTTATTGATCTATTGAGTAATCAATTAAAAAATTTTAATATCTTTCTTCAATACATGTTTACTGCTAATAATGAATTTTTGTGTTTTCTAAAAATAATTTTCAGTATTTAAATATAAAAATTTTTTTTGCCTTTCATTAAACAAAGTGATTGCAAAATAATTTAATTAATAACTGATGCATGGTCAGGTTTTTCTCCAGCAGCACCATTTTGATCTTCAATTTTTGGCTGCTGATCTTTTGGTGGTTTACCTTTTTGACCTCTCAATTTACTTAAGACAGCCTGAAAGTAATTTGCAGCTTACAATTTGGCATTTTAAAATAGCAAAAGATTTGAAAATTATAAATTAATCCAGTTTTAATCATGTAGTATGTTGATATCAAACTTTAATCCTGTTAAGTAAATGCAGTTACTTTATAGCATAACAATAGTTAAAAGATGTTTTGAGACTAGTGTTACTAATTAAATATATTCAAAAATTGCAGCTACCAAAAGAACTATTTGAATATTAGCATTAATAATCACTTTATTAATTAAATATTAAATTACATTAGCTATTTCTTTGTTATATAAGATGGGAATTAGGTGTACAGCAAAGTTTAAGGGTCATAAAATTTTAGATTAAATAATTTGGTAGAGCAATTCTCTAAATGTTATCAGGGCAAACAAAACCTTTATAACGACTGATTTTAATTATGCAAAATATGTTAATTGTATATGAATGAAAAATTTTTGAAGTACACAAAATATACATATTATATTTGTAAGTTTTTTCATAATGTTACCATAGGAAAATAAATTTTAAAACTATCAGACGAGTAGAAATACAATTTTTACCGGTCCAAATGGGTAGTTTGGTCCTGACTGATCGAAAATAGCTGAAAACTTTCAAGCACTGACAGAGTATTAATTTTATTCCAAATTCATATTAAGTATTCATTTTTTCACTAAAATAATTAATAAGTATTTCTATTTGCTAAACTTTTTATATTTTTATATTAAAAACAATAAATATATTTTTTAATTAATTAAAATATTACTTTATTCGTAAAAAATTGAATTTAAATTTTGTCTAAAAATATACTAAGTTTTATAATTATTTCTCAAACTCACATAACATACGCTGCACAGTACTGACAGTTTTTTCGAATCGTTCCATGGCACTTTCAAATTGACCCGCATAATGACGACACGTATGACCTTGAAGTGATTACTTTGCAAATTGGTTTAAGTTTGATATATTAAGTACTTATTCAAAAATTGTTACTAAATTACAATACCAAAAAATTGTTCTAATTAAAAATGTGCTTTTTAATTATTATAAATTATAATATAAGACTTAAAGCATACTTAATGAAAACTTTTAATTATATGAATTTGATGGATTCATAAAAAACTTTGACAAGAACTTTAATTTTTTTGGGAATTTCCAAAATGAATTCCATCATTTTCAAATTATTGTAATAAAAATTGTACTTATTGTATTCATCTTAAATAGATGTATTATAATTTATAATAATTAAAAAGCACTGAAAGCTACAGAATTTTATAATAATTAAGCAATTGTCGAAGCTTAACTTTAGCTTAAATTAAAAAAAATATACTTCTATTAAAATCGTTTTACCAAACTTATACCAAAATTATCATAAATTTGTAATCGCAGTTGTTAATTTCTGGTAATTAAGTTAAAATAAAAATGTACAATTCAAAATATATTTTGGAGATAATAAAAATATATATCAGTGCTTCAATTCACATCAAATTTAATCCTCCAGAAGGGTAAATAAGTTTGTATTATTTATAAAAAGCAAGAGAAAACATCCCTTCTCGAGCTTTATTTACGGCATATTTTTTTCACAAGTAAAACTTATAGAAATTTAAAAGCAATAAAATTAATAAGTTGGCGTTAAAATTAAAAATACAGTAGTGAATTTTCCTGTAAAATGATAAGCGAACCTAAAACAACATAAATTGGTTGAGTATTCCAACCTGGTGACCCCTTTTCAATGCGACCAGTTGCTCCGTCGTATCTATCATTAATACTTTCTTAGGTTCTGCTTATTTGATTACTAAGCCAAAATGAATAAATATTCTAAACGGGTCAAATAATATATAATCCTTGCATAAATTTGCATTAATATTACTTTTTGCGATCTAAGCGTTTTTTGTCGCAAATTTAATAATTCTCAATCAATATTCATGATTTTGTTCAAAAATTGTGTAATTTTTTTGCATTATAAATAATTAATAGCTTTAAGAGCTTTAATGATGAACCTAAGAGCTATTTTTTTATTTTCTTCTGTGTAATAAAGGCCATGGGCCCCAGGTATGACTGATTGTATAGCTGATAAAAGAATGGAGTCATCCGCTTCTAGACGAACTCTGACCGGTTCTAATTCAATACGAGCCCATCCTGCAATTAGTGAAGCGTAAATAATCCTAATTTTATAACAATAATAATATTATAATAGTTATTATTATTATCATTATTACCACTACCTTTTGTGATTACAAACAAAATAAATTTTCTCTCGCAAAATTATAATTGTACAATGATATTAATAAAATGATATAATGGAAACATTTTGCATCAGTGCTTTATTTCCAGATAATACTAATTTCTAAAACCGAAATAGCGGAATAATTTTTAAAAAAGTTTAAGCTTGAAATACAGACAGACTTCCTGATGGTGGAATATAGGCCACTGAGGGAACGTCATCCATGGGTCATCCAGAATCTGAATTTCGCTAATAATTCTCGAGTTTTATTACTTACAACACACAATAAAGCGTTTGTATTTCTTAAAATTAGATCAAATGTAACAACAAATTATTACAAAATTAGAGCTTTTCCTTATTTATGAAGAAAAATAATTAAAACATTTATTAAAGTTTGCTATTATATCAATGTGGTTTGAAAATTTGCAAAATATTATCAAATATGCATATATTACTGTCAATAATAATATTTAAACAAGCATTCAGTTTCAAATTTATTGAAGTGATATCGAACAGAAGTTTAAATCTTTAATTTTCTAATCAAAAACTCAAAAAATTTGTTAAAATGATATCCGAAAAAATAAACAATTTATTTTAAATAAATATTTATACTTATCTTTTTGTATTTTAAGAAGCAACAATTTATCTCTCAAAAAGTTAGTATTTACATGACATACTAAAGAGTGCATGAATTCATACGAAGTATCGTTTAAATGAAATTACAATTTCTGTAATATCCATAAGCCCAAGAATTTAATAATAAAATAGACTTAACTTTGATAATAATAATATTATTATTATTAAATTGCGCAATATAGTGAAACAATATAATTTTTTAAAGTCTTTTACAAATAATTAATTTGATTGCAGCAGAAATATTTAGTAAGGAAACAAGTAAAAATTACAGTTCTCACCCAAATATGATCAAATGATTTCTACTTTGTTAAAGAATTGCAGTTTAGATTTAACTGACATTTTTACTGACTTACTAGTTTAAATGCATTATTTAAGAAAATACTAATTATAAAATTAATTACAAAAAATTTGGTAAAGTCAAACAAAATGCAAGATTTTATAAATAGGACGAAAAACATTTAAATCACAAAAACAAAAATAGTAATTAATTATTATAGAAATGTTTTTTTTGAATCTAAAAATATATAATAATTATTTATTTAGCTATTATTGCTTTCAATCAATTTTGGATTAAGCTATTGTAATTTAAAACTATTATAATCTTTAATTTTTCAAATAATAAAAATAATAATTTTGTGACATTTTCCAATCTCGTTATTTGTGCAGTTATTACATACGAAAATTAAATAATATAAAATTAAACAGCAAAATTAAAATAATGTGTGTTGGAAATTAAAAATTAAATTATAATATAGATGGCATTCTATTTTAAGACATATTTATTGAAAAATTAAGCATTTTGATTTATATCTTCCTTACTAAATTTCCGCTTGCTCAGCTTTCATAGCTAAGCACGTCGTTTTTAAACTTTATATTTTTGTCGCACTCAGAAAAAATCAGCAAATTCAAGCAATATCCAAAAAATACAACTTAATACAATTGTGTTCCAATTTTTTGTCAAGTATTGACAATAATTCATTGTAAATTTGATTTGTACTGTGATATCTTACGCTGGAAAATTGTCAAACTGTATTATTTATTTTAAAAAAGATCAAAGTTCATACTACACATCTAAATATGCAATAAAAATTAATGGGTTGATTTTCAAGACCATTTTTGTAATATATACTTAATTTTATTCAAAAGCATTCAAGGAGACTGCAAATTTAAGCAATATCCAAAAATAAATTTTATTACTCAAAAAAAACTATCTTTAATTTAATTAGCTGATGAAACAAAGGCAAACTTTTGGAAATGGAAGCATAATTGAAATTCAGTTAATATCTATGCCAAAAAATAATTTTGAAAATAATTTTATAATTTCTTAACTGTTAATGATAAGTGCTGAACTGTGTAAATGATCAAAAATCAAATAGCTTTCAAATTAAGAAATTCATTTTATTTGGGATTTCAATTAGTTATTAATATATATTAATGAATATTTGCAATAAAAATTAGCAGCTCTCATAATGAAAATCGCATCTGATTAAAATCGAGTTAAAACATGCAAATGATTTGATCTTGATCTATTGATCTAAAATTGCTAAAATTTCCACAAATCTTGTTTCTGCAAGAAAAACAAAATCTGTGACTTGGTAGTAAAGTCTAATTCACTTTCAAGAAAGAACAGGAATAAGATTAAAATGCCCAAATATTTAAAAACCAAAAGGTCATAGGGCACAAAAAAATTTCAGAATAAAAGTTAAGCAAGCATTTGATGCAAATCACGAACTCTTTTTCTTGTCGACACACTAATTTTTTAAATAAAAAAAGTGATAGATCGCTTTTTAAAACAAGTGAGGTTCTGTTATATTGCCAAAACTTCTAAATCTGAAAATAAATTTTCAGAAAAATTGTAAATAAACGACCAATGAACGATCATTTTAAGAGGTTAAAGTTCAAGTAGTCGTATAAAAAAATAAGATTAACTTTTCCAGCTTTTGACTACTCACTAATAGATAATACAAATACTTTGCCAAAAAGCACTTCAGAATCAAAATAATCAAACTGACCTAAAAAATTGTTCTACCTAAAAATTAGATAATCATTTAAAATTTTTTCAAGAATATTATCTAAATTGAGATCAAGTAAAAATAATTCTGGCCATTAATATTTCTCAATTAATTTACTTAGCACTTAATTAATAAGTATTTTATTCAATCGTGGCTAATAAATATTATTTGTTATTATTAGTTCCTGAAGAATTAATAAACTTCATCTTTTTTTGATTGCTTACAAAAAATAAAGAGAAAACAAAGCTTTTCAAGACAAAGTGTACTGTCCAACAAATTTGTTCAGTATATTTTTTTAAAATGAAAGGCAGAAATGAGTTAAAATAACTGAAGGTCAAATCCACTGAGTGATAATATTGATTAAAAGAATCAAAGTTACATACTACAATAAGTATAATAATTTAATTACTGTAAAAACGCAAAACTTAATATTTTAATTCCGCATTCGTTACTTAAAATGTGTACAACTGTCTTTCGTTTTAAATATTTTTGTAGATATTTTTCTGTCTTATATTATCGTAAAACTTGTTCATTTATGTGTTTCAAAATATTCGTTGTTTTAGGGCTAATTAATATTAAAATATATATTTTACGAGTAATTTAATACGAGTAAGTAATGAAATCTATTGGTAATAAGTAATTATTTGAAATACAAACTTAGTTTGATAAACCAAAAAAATATTTATAAGAATATTTGAAATATTGTTTTAAAAAAGCGCTAAACAATTATTCTATCACAAGAGATTTTTTAAAACAGAGCAAAAAACATGAAGTACTTGGATAACAAAATAATGAGAAATAAAGTTCGCTAATAAAGTTAGTCAAAAAAATAAAAAATTAAAAAACTGTGCTAAAAATAGTTTAATTTGATTTAACGAAAATTAAGTGAGTTGCGTGGGAATAATATTTAGTAGATAAAAGGTGAAGTAATAATTTTTTATAAATTAAACATTTATTGTGCAATTGTTTCGTTTTATAAAATCAAACTTTATTTTTAAACTTAATAAATTATTTTAGGGTTAAATTGTTACTTTAATGAAAGTAATCTTTTAAATAAATGTATTTTTTACAATTTCAACTTTAAGTAATCAAATTAGTATCAGAAATGTAAGTTCTGAGCAAACTTGCAAACACATTCTAAGTGTAGTGAGCGGGACTGAACGAGAATACTTTTTTGTGACGTTAGCTTAGAAATCAAAATCTTAAGCAGTTTTATTTATATTGACCAAAAAAAAGAAGTAAAATAATGCAGGAGGCGTAGTTATTCCTGAAAATAAATTAGCACATTTTTTTTCGGGTTTTTCTGGGAAGTCTCAGAGATTAAAAGTAAAAAGGTTAACAGAAAATATGAAAATAGTTTTATGCGTTTGCTAATTCTTTTTAAATCGCTCAATAATCAAAAAACTCGGAAGTGTAAAATATACATTTCATAGTTAAAAGTTTAATTTTTGAAAATTTTGACTTTTAAATTTTAAACTGAATTTGAAATAATAAGAACTTGAAATAACTTTTTAATTAAAACGATTTGATATCATAACGTTAATATTTATTGTTAGGGATGTGAAAACCATAATATAAAATGTGATAATGCTGATAATTGTTAACTGATAACAATAGTTAACAAGAACTAATTTTACCAATATTGCTATACAAAAATCGTATATATTATTTGCTGACTTGTAAATAATAGTTTTGATTAATAATTAAAAAACATTTTTTATTATTTCTTATGAATATTTTATCATCAAAAAACAGTGAGTTGATATATATATAAAATTATGAAAAAGTGTGCATATTTTAAATGCAAATGATAGTAGAAAAAGATGTTTACTTACTTAAAGAACGTCCAAAAATTCTTTTAACTATATAAAAAACGCAAAGAAATAAAATGATAAAGAAGTGATAAAAGACTGATGGACTGATAAACTATTTACTCCAAAAATTCCAGTAGAAACTGATGACAAAAGAATTGTAAAAAGAATCTTCTAAGTTAGTTTTTAGAGAAGAAAATTGTGAACAAAGTTTATAATTTGTTTTTTGAAAACTAAAATATTTTCTAAAAACATTTTAATATTTCTTAAATTATATTATATCATTGCTTTCATGATTCTCATATTTTTTTCTCTCATTATAGCCATTATTATCACTTTTGTTGTTATTGTCATTATTATCAATATTATTGTTAATGTTACTGCTATTGTTAAAACTACAGTATTTTTCAAAAACATTTTAATATTTTTTAAATTATATCATTATCCATATTTTTGCTCTTATTATAGCTATTATTATCACTTTTGTTGTTATTGTTATTCTCATTACTAACTGGTCTTGAAATTATTAACTGCAGTTATATGATAAAAAATTAATGTTTATATTTTTAATATTTTAAATTTTTCACAAGCGATGACGTCGATTAATTAAGCTGAGAATTCTAAATAATAACTGCCTGTGTAAATAAGCGTTCACGCAAATAACTTTCAAATATATTTTTTTAACGTCGAGACTTTGAATGAATTGCATTACGAGTTGAAATTGAAGGATATCGTGGCAATGTTCTCAGTCGCTACTGTTACTTTCGATCGGAAGTAATCAGAAGCACTTTTTCTTCTTCACAAGCAAATGTTACGTTTGCTTCTTAAACTGCTATCTTACAAATGTTTGTATAGAGCAAAATTTTATCAGTAATCCCAGACTAAATTGCTAACACAAAGTAGACAGATGTTAAGGTGCATTTTTTCATGAGTTCAGAGTAGCCTAAAAATACTTCAAATCATTTGTAACTTTTTGAAACATTAAAATGTTTAGTGGTTTTAAAATATTTCGTTATGAACTTTACAAACTGCTCTTAATATTTATTATTAATAATATTGTAAAATAACATTTAAGAAAATTATAATTAATTGCGAAAATTTAATCTAAACGCAACTTCAAGAAATTAGAGATTAATTACAGTAATTAAGTGCATTTTCTTCAGAACAAAAATCTTTATTACTAGAAAATGATGCTTGAAATGCATCGTTATAAATGGTAGTACAAATATTTTACTTAGTTAAATTATTTTCTGAAATCATTCAAAGCAATCGAAAGCTGATATTAAAATGGGTTAATCTATAATTTTTTACGATTATATGACTGTAAAGTTACGATATCCCTATTACAGTGATATTGATTACAACAGTACATGACGAACGATATCCCTGTTACAGTGATATTGATTACAGCAGTACATGAGTACTGATTTTTTTAATTCTTCACAAAAGTGATCTGTATAGTAGCAAACTTTTTTAATATTTGTGCGAGCGATAAATAAGGAATAACAAATGATTACACAACACAACTTATCAGTTCAGTTCCGGGTCTTAAAAGTTAGAAAGTATATGCACTTGTGAATTGTTCCCACAAATTACAAAGAGTTATTAAGGAAAATAAAGTTTGTTAAATAATTTATAACAGTACATTTTAGGTAGGTTCAATTTTAATCTTCATTAACTTTTAGATACATCAGTAGTATTTTATTTCAGAGTAATCTTGACAGCAAAGAAATTAATCAAAAATTATTTTTATTTTAGGCATTAAAAATTAAATAATTTTGATATATAAATATTCAAAAGAGAGCACAGTTGATCCACGAGGAAGTGGTAGATGCGAATAATCTGAGATTTTTATAATTTCAAAAATATGCTAATTATTCACTAAAGCACTTTTTGTCCGATTTCTATAGGACTATTCTGCTTACGTGGTACTCTTTGGTGGATTCTTGTAGGACCTTCCAACTCACGTCGTACTATCTGGTGACTTTTTGCAGTATCATATTGCTCACGTCACTTATCTTCTTTGCTATCTGACTGATAATAATACGAATTTATATTCTGCCTGGTAGTTCAATTCAGCAATTATGCTATTCTTTTGAAAATTTTGAGACTTAATTGCAAAACTCACTAAACTTTCATGTAATATACTAATCGCAATTTGCGTTTGATAACTGCACGAGGTGTTAATCAACTATCTTCGAGAAAGTCTAGCATTTTAATCAAAGTGCTACTGCTTGAATCATTAAGCTAGTCTAACATCTTCCCTTTCCGACTTCTTCTGTTTCATTTCAATGTGTTCGAGAAGTTTACAAACTGTTACAGAAATGAACTTTTTCTCAATATTTTTCTTTGCACACAAGCTGATAAAAGAACATATTTTTACTTTTTGCCACAAATCAACGAATAATTGTCGCTTGCTTCCGATAAAAACAACAATGACAATACTTCAGAAAGTATAACAGAAACTTTCTGACAGAAACCAAAGTAATATTCAAAGCAAAAAATAATATTCATAAATACAGTACAACTAATGTAAACGAAATGGTTGACTCTCAAAATTAATCAAAAAGTTCATATTAATTTTGTGTTTTAGTAATAGAGTCACGTCAGTTAGAATTTTGATGATTTTTATGTTACTGTATTTTTGCCTTCTGTATCTATGCGGAGAGAATACCGAATCCACACGGAAAAATCGAATAATACATTCTTTCATCATAGTCAGATCATGACGACATACTGAACCCAAACTTTGAGCTTCAAAAAGTTACTACTTGGATTCAAGTACTGGTTGATTTTGATTTTGAGTCCTTTGATTAAATAAAAATTAATAGTACAACAGCGATTGGTGTGGATGAATGCTTAAAGAAATTATAAGAATTATAATTTTTTATTGATAAACTAAATTGGTTGCGATATTCAAAAATTGTCCATTACGGAAAAAAGCTCGTTAGATTGGACTAAATGCTTGAATTATGAATACATTTTATCATTGAAAAATATGGCAATTTGCGCTTAATTTATTTACTTCTTTTATTACTTACGTCTAATTTCCAACGTATATTTACATATGTGAATATGTAATAATACTACAACATAAATCAGTTTTTGTTGGAAATAAGGCAACTATTTGACTACTTAAGTTCACCAAATTAAAACAAGTACCCAATTTCCCGAAGGAAATTAAATTAAATTAAATTAATCTGGAAAATTAAAGAATTATACCTAACTAACAGTTAGAGAGTACCAAAGATAGCTATAAATATATGAGAGAGTATATAAAAGACGTATGCAGATCAAAGAGAGAAACAGCACTTGCGTGACAAAGAAATTAGACAATTGCGAAAAAGTTAAAGAACGAAAAATGTGCATTCAATATGCTAGAAAAAGAAGAGAGACTAGATAAAAGTGAAGGACGTAAATTTCAGATCAGGATTTACTAACTTATATTTAGGTACAACAGCGATTGGTCTGGATAAATGCTTAATAAGAATGTCTTGTCAAGATTTAAGCACGTAAGCAAGTTATTTTATCAGTAATCGAAGTATGGTACTGCTTGCATAATTTAATAACACAATCTATAATTGACATAGCCTTCGGGTGATGAAAAAGACACCTGTAGATGGTGATGAAAAATGCAAAAAATTAAGTAAAACTTTATGTACAACATAATTTAGGAGAGATCACGTGATTATGCTCGTAAAATCACTGTCTTTTGAAAAATCATAGCATTTTTAATGACATGTATATGTATATAAATTTGCGATTTAGATGCGTTTATCAATGCCACCGACCGGATCAAAGCTTGATTTTAATCAGAAAACATCAGAGAATAAGTGTTTATGGGATATTTGATGTCCAGGTAGTTAATTTTTTAACAGTTTCTGGTCATTTATATACATGCCAGCAATATCAGTAGCACTTATCAGTACCAGTTATTACTTCTTATTGTTATTAATTAATGGTAGTAACTATTGGTTATTTGTTATTTTTTGTTGATGCTGGTAGTCTATAAAATAAGAAATACATTACTTAATAATAGTTTAGTTTTATAGAATAAAAAATTCGGTTTGCATTATTTTAAAGGAAAAAGACCATGAAGTCTTTTCAATTATTTACATTAATTTTTTTTTTATTCCGCGAAAAAAAAATGAAGTGATATGAAGTTTTCCCTGTATCTAGGTACTTTTCGGGAAGGTTCTCTCTAAGGGTTATGAGTTCGAGGCAGGTGCTTATGCAAAGGAGCGGTTTATTAAAGTTGCTGCACCATATTCAGTTGGTCCTCCAGCACAATTTGTGTCTTGTATGGGTAAACCTCCTAATCGGTATCGGATTAAATGGCGTGTAAAAGAGGTACATTGAAATACATATAGAGGCAAAATTTTCGTCTTTACAAATTTTATCGTTTAGAATATATGTTTTTTCAAAACATGTGTATTGAGATTTTCAGTAGAAATGAACTGTATGCCCATTTCAAAAATATCTAATAGATTGACTCGGGGTTATCCTTAATGATTTTTCTCTCTGTAGTTGTATTATTTTGTCTGATATGAAAAATTTAAATTTATTTGTTTTACACCAAATTTATTTTGTTTATATGGTTATTATTTTTAATATTGAGCATATATTTAGATTACAGACTCCGTAGACTCAGTATTGGATATATTTGAAGAAGGTGATAGTCTCCTGCTTTTTCAGTTTAACTTCTCGAAAATTTGCGCATGCTTTCGAGAACTTCATGGACAAGTAAAAAAATTAACTTGCAATTAGAAATTTCGATTGTTTTTGTACCTTGCACATTTTATTAGCAGCTCATTAGATTTGGTTTCATTTTCCTTATGCTCTTTCTATGCACAGTAGCTCATTTCTAAATGTTTTCCGATTTTGGTGTTAAATTATTTAGTTTCATTCTAAGTAATTGTTTTTTAAGATTTAATTTGCTCTTTGTATTTTAAAATACTAGCATATATCGCAAATAATGTATTCGGCATCTTCACTAATTTCATTAGCAACGCAACATTAGAAAAAAGTTAGTCCAAATATATAAAATTCAGATCTTTTTCTTACCTCCTGACAGCAAGGACTGTTTGTCAATAGGACCGTTATGCACTGCACTTCTAACGGAATATCCACCGCTATACAAAGGCACTACTGCCAACAATATTGCAGAGTTGGTAAATCGGATTTTTAAAAGATATTGTAAGTTCAGACCATTTGTACATGTTCTAATATATTAATTTAAAAGTCTAGTTTGCAGCATAATTCATTTATAAAGTGTTCAAACTGATAGGTAGTTTGTAATGCTTTTGATCTATATAATAATAATAATAGTAGTAATAGTAATAAGGCTATCCATATATATCCACAAATTACCTATCATATATATATATGGATAGCCTTTTTATTAATAGGGCTTTATTTTACTTTGGTAATATGATATAATAAATTCAGTAATTGTAATTAAAAAATATAAAAGTTTTATCGAAGAAAACATCTTTATTTGACTAGACGTATTTATATTATGCAGCAGAAGGAAAAAGATCTATAGTAATGGTAATAGGAAGTAAGAATACGGGGAAGTCGATGCTTACTCGATTGCTAGCCAATTCATTTATTGGAAGGTAGGAATACCAATTACCATGTAGTAGATACGAATATATAGCTCTTTGAACTTCGAAGTCGGATTTTTATATACATTTTTGTAATTTCAGTATATTTTTATTTTTCTTTAAACATATTTTTATGTGGCGAAAAATGTACGGAAAATATATGGGATTTTGCAAAGTTATTTAGTTTCTGCATAGCTTATGAATTAGTTAGCAGTAATTTGTTTAAGCAATCATCCAGCTGTTTATATTCTTGATTGTGATGTTGGTCAACCTGAAATGAGTCCACCAGGATGTATTTCACTGATAAAACTAAGCTCACCACTTTTAGGTAATTTTTTCTAAATTAAGTTCGTTATAGAAACACAATTTATTACAAATTATCTTCTAATGTGATCTCTTGTCGTTAAAAATAAAACTTTTAGGTGTTCCAATCTTCCACCAAAGAATAGTTCTGCTCGATACTTATTTTTATGGAGATATCACCATAAACTGTGATTCAGATTTGTATCTTGATATCCTTCGGAAGCTACTAAAACGATTTCAGGACTGTAGTCCATCATCATCTGTGCTTTTAATTAACACTTGTGGATGGGTTGAAGGTATTAAATTAGATGCATTGTCGAACTTTATTCTCTTTTGTATTATTTGAACCATTAATGATAAATATTCATAAGAAATAACTTGAAACTTTGATATGCTTATGAACGTTATGAATCTAATAAAATTATTTGAAATATTAAGCAAAAGATTTGCAGGCAAAGGTGTTTCTCTTTTGGATCGCATGCTGAAATTATTTGATCCTGATTTCGTCTTCAATTTTGTGACTCCTGCAGGCCCCAATTATGAAGTATTGTTTTTCATTAAAGAATTTAGTGTTATAATTAAAAAATTTTCTTGTATAGTTTTTAAGAGTTCTTATTTCCTGATCATTTAGAGTATGGGAAATAAATTTCATATAAGTTGCACTTTTGTTTTCAGGTTTGTCAAGTTACTGCAAACGGAAGCAAAAAACCAGCAGTCTTTTGCGCTGCTGCTGTTGAAAAGTTCATGTAAATTTTATTATCTAGTTATATTGAATATAAGTGGCTGTAAGCACTGACCTTTTTGTTTCCGGGTGCATTTTCTGCTGACCGAAAGCTCCAAAATTTTTTTATTTGAAAAAATTGGGAATGATTTTTATTTTAACGAATTTTTTCTCCTCGTTAGAATCAACAAGTGCTAGCATATATTTTCTGCGTTGATTGACATACGGCATAAAATAATTTTTTTTGCCATTTTGAAAATAGGATTTTTAAGGGAAGCAATATTAAATTAGTATTGGCGAACTGTTGCTAGCCATAGAAAGTGAAGTTTGTCAATTTAATAGTCTTGCAATAATGTGTTTGCTGTTAAACATTTCTGATACTGTAAAATTTTTACATGGCTTTACTTTCAGGCATTTGCATTCCTCTCCTTCTATGTTACGTAGTCTTCGACTGACATCATATATGTTACACGCTTGTCCTTCCCCGACAATAAAATCATTTGCTGATGCAACACCTTTTGCTGTATCATTTCGTGATATTGCATTATTAGTGAATAGCAATGAACTATTTCCTGACACTCATATTTTTGCTGTTCTGAATTGCACACTTGTTGCTCTATGTGTTCGGGATGATGTGACTGATCTAATGAATGTTGGTTTTTAGTTCAGATTTTAAATTTAGAAGTTGGCTTAAATAATTTAAAGGTATCTATAAATAGTGTATAAATAAAAGATATCATGCTTGGAAAGCATTAAGATTTTTCTTTTTGAATGTCAAGTACTTTTGATATGTTGAATCACGGTGAAATTTGATTTTTTTATTGCTTTTTTTGTATTAAATAAGCACTTTTTTCTAAGTGGAATTCTTATATATGAAAGTGCTTCTTTTAGAGAGAAAGATTATTTAATAATAAGGACATGCCCGTTTTGTTAAATCCAAGGGACAGAGAACCACTGCTTGTCGTTGGATATGGATTTATTCGTGCAATCGATCTCGAACAGTATATTTTTTATATAATAACACCTCTCGAACTTTCAACTTGCCAAAAAGTAAATGTACTGGCTCGAGGGCTGAACATTGATCTTCCTCAATGTTTTTTTGTTTCTCAGGTCTCTTTTTTGTCTCTTTTTGTATTATAATTTTTTTTGTTTTTTTGTTTGTCAGTATATTCTTGGCTTTAAAAAAAAACATGTTTTCTCGTTTTTTTAAAAAAACATGTTTTCTCGTTTTTTTTGTTGTTTGACTATGCGTATTCAATAATATCAACAGCACATGAAAGTAAAGAGGTTTAATTTTATTAATTTCAGTAAAGTAACTGTCTTTTCATATTTTAGAGAAAAGCTGCAGTGCCTTATGTTGTCAGGGAGCGTTCTTCTACGTTCCACTCTGAATTGTTTAAAAAGTTAAAGACAAAATCATCTTTTCATCGGAAAAGGTTTTTAAAATCGCAAAACCAGGTTGTTGTACAAAAGGTGAAAAAATAAATATCTTTATCGTGTAAGTCGTTACCATTTTTCATAGTCATCAGAAAATTTTTTTGAACAGAATAATTTCATGATAAGTTCAGTTTATAATGATTAAGAAAAAAATTGAATGATCTGTTTTAAATAAAAGTATTTTATAGCTGGAATGAAAAATAGTTCGTGCATTGTCTGTATTTATTGTTCGTTTTGTTTTATCTGACTGTTTTATTGGTGAGATGTATCCGGTTTCTTGCACATGATGATTATGCTGATTTTTTTCAAGTTTTCATGCTTCTTTTCAACCTGTGAATCATAGATGAAGGTTAAATAATAACAGTAGTGCATGAGAGCAGTCATTTTTTGATTAATTGCGGGAAGAATAGATGGTGCACATATTTCAGTGACACAAATAACTTTAATTTGCAATAGCTGAATAACCGGATCTTGTCTGTTACATTTGAATTGGAATCGAGAAAAAGTAAGAAGTACATAAGTAATTTAATTTGAAAATGCTATCATTAACAATAAAAATTTCCGTTTTGAAATCTTCAAATGAAAGTATCATAAGAAATTTTATTTAAAAATTGAAGGAGTATTCTTAGCTAAGTTGATAGAATCTCCAAACCACGTCATATAGATCTAAAATAAAGCTATTTTGTATTTTCATCGATGCATCCAAATTATCGAGATGTATTTTCATGGATGCATAAGCATTTCACGAAAGGCAATAAATTCATAACAGTGAGGACAATGGGTCAATTTCGACACACACTTTGCGCATGAATGTTGATGATTGCAAGGAGTAAAGCGAACTGCAGATGGCTGGAAGAATAACTTTCATATGTAACCTGAGGATAAGTACTAAAATTTTTTGAATTCATTTAAGGTAATTTCCACTGTGGATATGAATTTGCAAAAGTAATTGATAACCAATGCAAGTATTTGGAAGAGGTAATTTAAATTAAAACTATAGAAGATTTGTAGTTTCGAAATTTAAAAAAGCACAAAAGCATGGTAGCATACCTGAGCATTGCATTTAACACATAATTCTTGTTTCTGAAATTATTTGGATCTTAAGACCAATTAATTTTGTGAAAGGTTCTACAGTAAGTGTTACCTTTGCTTTGATAATTGCTATAGTTGCACAAAAGGTAAGAAGTGAATAATAAAGTTAGTACGGAAAATAGCGAGTAGCATATTTCATTCATGCCTTTAGTAATCATATAAATTGAATAAGTTACCTTGAAGACATTTCGATGGAATCTTGAATCTCGATTCCCTTCCAAGGCATTTTCTTTGTTGCTTTTTTTAGTATGGAAGATAATTTCACTGAAACTTCTTGATTTATTCTCAGAGTGCGGGGTTTTTTCATCATACCGAATTTTCGCTTTATCGAACTTGGCTGATCTTACGTTACTTGCGCTAAAGCTTCTGCACGCCAAATTCATTGTTTTATCCTCTTTTTTATCTGCCCGACTTTGACGTGTTGTTTTTCTGCCAAGACGTGGAAAGTAACTTTTCAAACTTGATTTCACAACAAAAATGAGAACAAATTGATAATATTTCGGAGAAAAAAGAAACTTTTGGTATTTTTTGATAATTTATATTTAACTGTATAGAAAATGAAAAGTAACAATGGAAAAGACATTTGGAAATAAATGATTGCTTTCATAAAAATTCTTAAAAAATGCAAATTTATATTTGTTTGAAGTATAGCAGAAGTTGTATAACATTTTTCTTTATTTCTCAAAATTATTATAAATAAGATAGTAAAAACTTACTCATTCTCGAAGAATTTTGGATGAACTAATCGTTGAAACAGTGTGAATTTATGATTATGATGATGAGCTTTCTGATTTTCGTTCCACGTTTCACTGCTAAAAACAAAGCTTCCATTTATCAGATTTCGAGATTGCCTCCGAAAGATGTGCACCAGAAAACTGATAAATTTTTCAACTTTTTCAAAACTTGTATAAATAATAGAAAAATTGATGTTAAGATCAGAAGCACCTTTTATGCCACGTTGTTGGAGGAATTTTACTAATTTGATTTGTAGGGTCGTTCATTTTTGAGTTTTCTGTAACTTTTTTGTAGCATATATTAATAACATTTACGAATAAAATCGTCAAAAAATTTTCATTGTAATACAGATAAAATCTTTAAAAAAGCGATTCAGAAACTTGAGTTCATTATTTAAATTTTTATTTTTCTTTGAATTTGAAAGTCATTTAAAAATTTTATATCATCAAAAAGTTAAAATTCGAATTTTAAAAAGAGAAATCAAAAAATCACAATTTGATGCCGCAAAAATTAACTTCATAGTTAAAACTTTAATCATTTAAATATAGGAATATCAGTATTATTTTTGCTTTCCGTTTCAAGTATTTTGTCTTAATATTAAGTTTAGTACCATTTAGCATGTACAATCGTAAATAATTCTCTAGTCAATGAAGACACTTTTTATTGAAAAAATAAAATGAGCTTAGACGCTAATTTAGCTTGTTTGGAGTACAATCATACGAAGTTGTATAGCTTTCGTAAATAAGCAATATCAACATATTTTTAATTCGTAATCATAAAATTTTGCTAAATTAAATAAAAATTTTTGATGTCTAAACGTTAATAACTTTTCGAGTTTCCATAAATATTTTAAACTATTAAAAATTGTAATAAATTTTGCAGAAATTTGCAGATATTTGAATAATTAAGTAATCGAGAGTTTTTTCAACTTTAGAGATTGGTACTTTGATTTATTAATTTTTAAAACTCACAACAAACGATTATTAAATTTAATAATAACTGTGTATCTCTCTAGCTAATTTTTTATTCCATATTTTTGTTACTGTTTTCAATAACAAATGCCACAAAAATAAGTAAATTCCAATAAATATTTTGTCTGAATTATCAAATCTTCATTTTTCATTACTACTGCAAGATTATCAGTGAAAATTATTATATCCTAGTCAAATCAAACGTGATACTTAAATGAAATAATACTTACGTGATAAGTGTTGCAGTTAATGAGTAAGATTTGGATAAATAGCGCTATACGTTTCAATAACAATCACATAAGTAAATTCCAACAATTTTTATAAAAATTTGAATCATCCCTTATATAAACTAATTTGATCTAACTTACTACATGACATAAAGGAAACGCAAGGGGTAAGCGTTTCATTTGCTTTGCTCATTTACCAGAAAAAAATAAATAAGCATAATTCCACCTTCTTCAGAAATGACAATTATATAATCGTGAGGCTTTTAAAGTAAGACCAAACACTGAAGCGATAACGAAGTTTATCACTGAAGTAATCTCCACAAGTTTTGTTGAACAAAGCAAAGTAAATCAGAAATTGTGCTTTCTTATCAACAAAATGCTTCTTGCTGTCTTTTAAGCCGCAAATTGATATCGAAATACTGCATACTTCATCGTTCTATCAAAATAAAAAAATGTATTCTAATATCATATGCTCATATTTTTCCTCTGGGGTAAAACGTGTTTTATACATTATTTAAGCAAACGTAAAAATAATTTTCGCAGATACTTTAGTAATAATAAAAATAATAATAATAATATATTGTAATAATAACAATAATAATAATAATAATAAATATATAATTATTTCACTTTAATGTTAGCAATCATTTTTGCAGAACATGAAATATGAAAATTTTATGCAAAATATAATCAGTTTGTTATTACAATGCAAATATATTTGTGGTATAAACAAAGTTAGGAGAATGATAAGGCTATCATTAGTTACTTTTGTTAGAACGATGGCAATTACAGTAACCAAATTATCAAATTTACATTGGAAAATGAATGTAACTGTTGCTTATTAAATAAATTACTTATGTCATATTTAAGAAATGCAAAAATATTAAAAAAAAAGCAAAATTTATTTATTAAGTTTCTTTAATAAAATACTGCGCATTGCAGCCAACAGAGAATTACTATTGGGCATTGCTGCCTGATAATTCGATGCGTTCGGTGATCTGAAATATTCAAATCGATCAACCGATCGAAACACATTGATAAAACTGATCAAGAACAGCTTTTGGGATGAAAATAATCACTTACAATTTTTTAAACTCACAATCACTCTTGGATCGTAATTTATAGGAACTTGGACAAACTACAAACTCATTTTATCAAGTTATTCTTATTCAAATTAAAAATTTAATGTAATCAAATCTTTCATTTCACTAGAAATTTGAAATTTTTTCCGACAATAATAATAATAGTAATAACAATAATAATAATAATGAATGTTGTAGTTCAAGCTAAAAGTCGAGTTTTCCAAAACCGGTTACAAAAGGTTGTAGTAGTAAATACAAAATAATTCTTGAGGTCAGTTTTACATCATAGAACTCAAAAATGTATTATATGCGAAAACTGTTCTGCTTACAGAAAGACAGTAACAAATGATTTGAATTATAATTCAAAACAATCTCTGTCATTTTTCAAAAAATGAATATTTCTGAATTTAATTAATAATATTAATTTACAGATTCAAGTACTTTTATTCAATAGTTTCAAAATTAAATCTCATAATTGATTGAAAATTAGAATAAAGTAAAGTGTAGCAAAAAATTCAAACCGTCGAGAATTGGAATACATCGTGAGAAATTCCATGAACGCTGGTACTGATAATGATGGTGCCAATTTATCACTCCATGAATGATTTATTCTTGCATTATTTTTCATCAGCCAATATCTAGAGGAGAAATCCTGTATAGTCCCGAGAGTTAAGTCAATCTCAGGCAAAAATAATATAATCAGACATGCAGTGCTGAATTTAGTAAACATTTCTAAAGCATTTTTTAATTAGTAAATAAACATTTGCTCAAAGGATTAAAAAGCAAAACAATCTTATTAAAATCAAAAAACGTTTGAAAATTAAAATGGCTTTAGAATTAAAAAATAATAGCTGAGTAAATTAAGTCAATTAATTATACATTTGTTAAAGAATCTCTAAGGGTATCCAGAAAGATTAGATACGCGCTTAATACTTAGATAAGTTAAAGTAAAAGTACTACAATAAAAGGCTAATTGTTCATTTGAAATATTATAAACATATTATTCTAAGCAAAGATAAGTAAATCAAGATCTTAAAAAAATTTGCTTACAAAAGTCTATAGAGGAGAAATAAGTTTGACTAATAAATTGTTAATTTAGCTACTATTTTAATTCACTAACCTAAAATATCCAATTCCTAAGCAAGCAATAACTTACTGAATTATTACTCACATAACAAATCCCTAGTTTTATCGAAGATAAAATAATTCTCAATCTTTATCAAACACAAAGTCTTTTTGAATCATTCAAAAATTATAATTTTTTGAATTAATGTGCGATAAATAAATTTGACTACTTATATATTATTGTTGTGATTAAATTATAAGCGTTATGGTTTCAATGATTGATAACAACTTAATACTAACAATGCTTTTTGAGCAATTTTATTGAATTTTTAACTATTTTGTAAGAAGTAATGGGAATTTTCAATACTTTTTAAGATATATACAGACAAAAGTAAAATAAAAAATTCATAGCCAGTGCGTAAAAAAGTTTAATTTTAGAAGCTTTTCGAACAAAATCTAAATGAAAGTTTACTTCTAAACAGAATTTACTCTCGGATGAAATTAGATATTAAGTAAATTATATACAAGTCGTGAATCAAACGAATAAGAACTGTAATTAGAATAAAAGCGGATCGACCTGACATCCTAGCCTACGATAAGAAATGACGTGAAGTTGGTAACATGGATTAGTAAATTATACGCTGCTTTTGTGATTAATATGGTTTAATAAAGTAAGTGATTGAAAAAAACTATAAATGTTTAAAAATAATTATTTTATTGCAATAGAAATTAGTTTCTAAATAATTACTTACTTAATTACAAGAAAAATTTGTAATTTTAGACAGATAAAAAATTTCAAATTAGACTTAGCAAAAACAGATCAAATTTTTTATAAATAAAACAATCAATTAAAAAAAGCCATTTGAAATCAAATGTAGCAAATTGGAATACTAATAAAATAATAGCAATTTAAAAGTATGCAACGAATATGATCTTTTGCAGGCAATAATCTTCAAATAATAACCATAACTCGATTATGATTTTTTGGCGATAATAATCCGGTAGTTTTTGCATCTTTTATTTTTTCATTTAAAAAAACTAAAGTGCTTATCAATGTAAGACAAATGTTAAGCACTGTTTTTGTCCAGCATTAAAAGTATAAAAAATAATTTGGATGCTTTTTGTGCTAAAACAACGATCAACTCGAGCATTAACAGCCTCAATTCTCGAAGGCTAACGAATTAAATTCTCGATTGCATGAATATTTTATCAGAATTCTGCTGATATATTTGTCATCTTCAAGCCAACTTCAAATATAACTTGCTGGCATATTTATTAATTGTTGTCAATTTATGCTTTCGTAAGTTGAATTGTATATCTAATTACTATTTCAATGAATACGCAATTAAGCAAGTAAAAAAGTGAAGTATTAGTGTACTGTAAAATGAATTATTCATAAATCATTCAATTTATATATGTAAGAAACTATTTTAAGAATAAAAAATGAAGTAATGAGTAATTACTGAGTTATTTACATTTAACAATTTGAATAGATGGAAGAAAATGTGCAGTTTTAAAAAGATTGAGAAATGACAGTTGATCAAGTAATTAGTGCTAAAATTAACGTAGGGATAGCAAAAATCTCGATGATACTTTTATTTTCAATCAATCAATCCCATATTGATACTTTTTAAGCTTCGATCACAAAAGATCGAAGTTTAAAAAGAAAGACAATATTAGCATTTCTAAGATATTTATGCAGACTATTCTAAAAATTTGCTGACTATTCATTTATCTTATAAAAATCAAGTATTCAAATTACAAATTTTTTTCAAATTTATGTTAGTAACAAGGTGGTGTTTGTATTCGAAAGAAATTCAAACCAGAAGTTTTTTCATCTCACTTTGATAAAGCAGAGAACTAAATTAATTCTAAAAACAGTCAAACTTACGACTTCATTTAAATTTGAAATGCTAAAGGGTTTATCAATTCCAGTTCCAAGTATTTCCTACCTATAAGAGGCTATTGTGGTGAAAATCAAATTTTCCTCTGTTACTGCATTAAATACTGATATCCACTGATATGAATTTGTTGAAAAGATAACTTTCATTATAAGGAAGGCTTATAGAATCTAAATTTAGTTTACTATCAATAATCACTGTTAGGACCGACGATAATTAATTCAAATGTTGTAATTTCTTTACTAAATTTATTTTTAATTAATATAAGCACTAATCTTTTGTAATGTTTTCGCCTTAATTAGCTGCATAATTCTTCTCTACTTTGCTTGGTTTTGAATAAAGTTGTTGATCTGTTTTGTTATTTACTAGAAGAAACGATACTTTGCAATTTTCGATAGGACACATAAACTTCAGGTCATCATTATTAGTAATACCATTTTGCAGTATAACAATTCAATTCAAAAAAGTTACTATAACTTATAAATTTGTGCAACATTCTAAAGATAAAGTCTAATATTTTCTTAATAAACTTTTTAGGCATAATATTCGACTAATTATAGTCAAAAACTGCCACTACAAAGACCATGAACCAGCTTTTGTAATGCTAGATTAGATTATATACGCTAGACTTCGTATTATCTTTAGCATAGTTGTTTGGAAGATCACAATAAACATATACATTCCTTAATTTTAATCAAAGTAAATTTATCAATATTCATGCCAACTACTGCTAATAAATTTGTTACTCAATACTAATTAGGTACTGAAATAATACTACATACTCAAAAATGTGCACAAATACATTGTCTCGTTGACTTTTTGAAAAAAATAGAAAAACTTTATCATAAATATTCATCTTCATTAAAATAATCAAAAATTTATGATATCTAAGAAGCTGTTTAATAAAATTATACAAATACTAGCAATACAATAAAATCGGCTAAAGTACCATACCAATAATAAATTATTTAATGAGCAAAGTTGGCAGAATACTGATAAATCAGACGGACATAAATAAAGTGTGCAGAATTAGATCATATTTTTGACAAGATTAATGCCATATATGACCCCAGCCATGACCCCACTTGCCCCAAGTACTACGTTCTTCTGGATAGTCCCACAAGTTTAGCTCATATCCATAACCTCGTTCAGCCGGGACAGCCCATCCATTGTGATCTTTGTGATTATGATGATAATGATGATGATCGTGACGTTCTGGCACAACAACGTCATGATGTGAATATTGTTCATGAGCTCCGCGACCTGAATTCTATGAAACATATTTATGAATAATTATGCAATGAAATTGTGGTAAATGTTGAAGTTAGGGCTGTTCATGGTAAAGTAATACTTTCCTTAGATTCTTACATAAAGTTAGCAAATTAAGTAAGGTCAACCTTTTGAGTAATCTATTTCATCCTCTTTACCGTAACCTTTGTGAAAATCGTTTTTCCAATTATAATGATGTTTCGCTCCATTTTCACGAGCATCAATACCATGGGCATCATTATGATATCCCTTGCCATGCTTTCCCCATCCAGATGCTTCGTGCGCATCTGATAAATTTAATCTCAGGTTTTGTTAAATTTTCAAATTATAGTTAGATTGATTTGGTTTTTCAAGTAGCACGTTAAGTTATATCAAAACTTTAAAAAAATAAATGCAATCGAAGGGCTTGAGTCTTCATGATTTACTTAAATCTCAATTTTTTGCTATTTTGAGTAATTACCTGATTCGTGATCTTTCAAAGAATGATGCAAACGATCAGCTCCAAATTTACGTCCGTGTTTTTCATCTGTATAGAACTGTTCAACATGGTATTCTGGTTGCTTGTATTGGTAATCAAAGAAACCGAAAGTTTTCGCTTTGACATCTGCAGAATCCTTTGATGATATTGAATTTCATTACTCATACTATTTTAAACACATATTCTGCTTTAGTGATTCATTTATCCAGTAATTTTAGGTCTACCAAGTTCAATTGTTGAAAAACTAAAACGGTTAAAAATTTATATATCAATAAATTCAGCTCAACTATTCATGAACTTGTTACGTTTAGTAATCTTACGCCATGTTTACTAACCTTTTCCTAGAGCACTAGCTTGATCAGCATGCTTAGAAGCACCCTTTTCAGCTGAACCCGCGGTATGTTTCCCAGCTCCTGCTGCAGATTTCAACGCGTGTTGTTCAGATTCTTCTTTGATAGCATGATTGAAAGCTGCGATATTCTTCTGATGATGACCATCTTTTTCAATCATATATCCACTATCATGTCCATCATATCGGTTGATCCATTGGCGATCATGTCCATCTTTTTGTTGCTCATGTTTTGGCCCCAAATGCCATGCAGCACTTCGTGAAATTCTAAAATTACGAATGCTATATATATTATAATGAATATTGAGCAAGAATGTATTCCATTTCCAAAAATTTATTAATATCATTTACTAATATTACAAATATTACAATGCAGTACGTATTTCAGAAATTTTCATATAAATCACTAACATCATGAATAAAGTGTGTGGCTTTGCAAGCATTATTCAAGTAATATTTTTTAATTTCATTTAAGTAGAAGATAAAATCAGTAATAATGAAGCTTATAGAAAGCTTGTGTGTATATATGATGAGCTTAAATCAATCTGATAAAAGAAAAAAAACATGATTCCTTATGAATTACAGAACAAATAATAATATTAGCAATATTTTAGAAAATATTTTTGAAACACACCGTTCGGATTCGAAGGCATGCGCAAGCATGAAAATAATCGAAAGAAAGGAAACTCTTAGGAGCATTCTAAACGTGAATTTGAATTGTTACGTTAGAATGTATAATATAGCTGTAAACAGTAGAGTATACTGGAGTAAAGAACTTGCTAACTTATATATGCTAGTGATAAGTCGGTCACGGATAGTTTTTGTTGCTACTTAATTGACATAATTATTATTATGTAGGAATACAGATAATATTTAATACTGAATGATGATAATAATTGTCTTTTAAAACTTGAAAACAAAATTATTCTACCGGAATGATCGTGTTATTCAATGCTGTAAAACGTGTTTCTGTTTGCCGTCCATTTACCGATAGTTTTTCTCTTCTCACATTTCTGTCATGAACTGTTCTAGATAACATTCTTGTTGCTTTAGTCAACACAAAAAATTTGCTACAAAAAATTGCATATACATTTAAATTTTTTACTAGTAAGAAAATCACGAATGATTTCAAATCAGGACCAGTTATTTATTTATAAGCTAAAAGTTTAAAAAAACAACTGGTTTAAATATCAAAATATTCAAAATTTTCTAACCTGTTTATATTACAATAAAAATTTAAAATAATTCAGTTTCTTACAAAAAATATCAAAAGAAAACTTCAAAGTTAAATATGAAATTATTGTAAAGTTTTAAAAAAATTCTACATCATAGCAAAAATTATTACCAAATAATTCATTCTATTTTCTTTTAATGAATAGAATTCATATTCTCAACCAGACTCAAACATAATGGTTAAATTTCTTTTGAATAAGTTGAAAATATAAATTGAAGATTAAACATATTCATATAATGTGGAAAAAATTAAAGAGATCAAAAACTGTTTGTATCTAAATGACTTCTTACAAACCAAGCAATCTTTTTCTATTAAATTTTGCAGATTACTAGAAACTTGAAGTTCCCCCCGCATGATATTGAGTTCAAGGATCTACTTCTGCTAACCCTTCATAAGGTCATTACTGTCCATAGATGTAGAGTACGTCATATGGCATTAAGTGCTGCATACTGGTTTAAGCTCGATTGCAAATATTGACTTATTAAAGAGCGTCCAACCCATACAAGGTAGACAACCATGTTATAATCCTCCTCATTCATTTGACAGCGTCTGTGTCATTTTTTATTACTTCTATATTATCAGCTCCTCTATAATAAGCTTACAGATCGATGACCTAACAACATTTTTATGTCTGTTTCAAACAACATTTTTATGTCTGTTTCAATCTGTAACTTCGAAAAGTAAACTGAGAACGACTGATTTATTGGAATGTCATTCGTAGTTCGAGCATCATAACAGAGATCTAGCATTAAAAATAAAAGTAATGAAACTTTAAGAATTCAAATTCACATTAAAACTGCCAACATTATATCATGTGAACAATGAATACAGATTCCTGAAGTTACTACATATAATACAAGAATTGGAGTTAGAAAAATCATATATACAACACACTCTGTAGTGAAAACTGAGTCACACACCATGCAATAATGATGAATCTCCCATGAAAGAAATTTTGATTCTTTACAGAAGATGAAAAGCAAATTCTCACATAATTTTTAAGAAAACAAAAAGAATCTAACTTTTCAGCTATAATGACCAAAAAATAATCAAAATACTAATAAAGGATATTGCGAATCATAACGACATTATTATACCAGTAAGATGGAAACATCGCACTAACAAAATATTAAATCATTTTGAGGTACCTTGAACTACAACATTTGCGCAAATTGCTCCAGCCTATCTGTATCTGATACAGGTTTTCCTGAATGCTTGGAATCTGAAAGCCTGATTTTTGGTCGCTTTGACTTCGAAGCAGCACCACAAGAGTTACTTGAAGCATCACTTCTATCATCTTCATTATTATCAACCCCATTCGTATAACCATCTTTTACAATGCTATCTAATTTTCCATTCAAACACTAAAACCAGTCAAATCAAATTTGTATTTCACAGATGATTAACTTGGAACTGAATAAAATATTGAAACTGATGGCACATATAATTTTTTAGCAAAATAATTGTAAAGGTCTTGATGAAACAATGATAATTCCTGAAATACCTCGGGATGAATGGATGCAGCACGTGAACGTCGCACAGTAATTGTTGGAGGAACATCCCAAACTGGGGTTTCAGTATTTTTAGGAGATCTCTTCTTGATTGGTGGAGGAACAAGGAGCGGAGACGCTGTTTTTGACCTTGATCTGAAATGGACTTTGAATGCGAAAATAACTAATATTGAATACCTAACCACGTTTTCAGGATAAATATTACTGAATATCAAAACAAACAGAACCTAAAGTCTTCTGAATTTCGGATGTTTTTTTCACGAGTTGTATGTTTTATTTTCTCGATCAAACTAGAATCCGTTCCTCGACTAGATGCCCTCTGAGAACTGGGTCGATTATCTTTAAAAGAATCAACGCACTAACAGATCTTACTTGTAGAAACAAAGAAAATAACCACTCATTCTCATTGAAAATGATAAAAATAAACCTGAAACTGCAGAAGCTGTCCTCGAACCATCCGTGTTTGTATTTGTCATTTCATCCGAAACTTTAAATTCTTCTCGAAATGGTACCTAAACAATAAAAATGTAGGCATGCTAAATTTGTTGAGTTATCATTTTCTAAATGAATATTATTAAAAGAACAAAGCTTAATATAAAATTGACAGTGATGAAATTATCACATTAAAAGTCATACAAATGAGCATTTCATTTATAACAAGTGGTAACAATAACTTATTACAATTATTTATTCAATTCAATTTTTAACACTACCTGTGTTAAATCAATATCGTTATTTACATGTTGCTTGTCATTGCTTTTCATGTTTCCTTTTTTTACTTCCTTCAAAGCGTGAACTATAAAAAATCAATAATAGTCCTTGTATTTCGATGACAAATCTTTTTTCAATTCAGTGAATAAATAAACTTTAGCAAATTAGGTAGTGAATCTTTCAAAATGTCATTTACAATCTTATTTTCATTTACAAAAAACCAAATATCTGCCCAAACGAAAATATAATTGAGATAAACATACGCGGCTTTATTATACTCTGAACAATGTAAGGATCGATAGCGACGGATTTTGTGCAATCAAACGTTTTATAAATGCCAATAAGACGATCTGCGAGCTCAAACATATTATTCCGTAACGAAATGATGATGAACTGAGCATTTTTAGTTCGGTCCTGTAAACATCACAATTTTTTTTCAATGTTAATACTAATTAACACTGAATGTGATAACTGCTTTTGAGGAATCATCCAATTTCATTTAAAAATTTCACTATTGATGATGCATTATGTTGAGAGTATCAAACTTATAAAAATTTTACAATTTTTCAAGATTTTATTCGAAAATCCAAAGAAACTAATTGCTCTTCAAACTCACACAAAAATACTGCATGCTATGCGAACGAACAAATAAAAACTAAAACTTAGATTTTTAATACATCCTTTTTTTAAATGTTAATACTGATTCTCATTCTCATTGATTTTAATTTTCATCAATGATTTTCACTAGTCAATTGACAGATAAAATGTTTAAGATTTAGTTGAAGTCGAAAATAGAAAAGCTTAGATAGAATCTTACTTTTATATAATGACCGATAATTGAAACATTTCTAAAATCCAGAGCAGCATCGATTTCATCCATTACATACAACGGTGTTGGTCGATAATGGTGTAAAGCGAATACTAAAGCCAATGAAGATAGCGTTTTCTCACCTCCTGACAGATTAGTAATCTGCTTCCATGATTTTTTAGGTGGTCTAACTCTAAAATAAAGTTCATAAAAAAACTGGATAACAAAATGAAAAGAGCTATCACATTACAAAACTATTGCCATTTTGATTAATCAGCAAATTTCTATCAATAACTCTTTCACAACAGCTGATCCAACAGCAATGAAAACTTTACCCAAAAGAAACTCCTTCACTGAACGGATCAAGTGAATCGACTAAATCTAAACTGGCATCACCACCTAATGTTATCATTTGATACATTTCTTTCAATGCCAGACCGATCCGTGTAAAGCCATCCATAAATTCATTCATCCTTTGTTTTTTCAACTGTTCACAAAATTGACGATGCTTATCACGTTTTGTTGAGATTTCTGCCAAAGCTTCAACTTCGCGATCGTAACGTTGAAGCTAAATCCTTACAACACATTAAGGACAAGAATTTTACAAATATTTTAGAAGAGAGGAAACCAATACTCAATTATTTACCAGGACTTTTGAATTTCAAAAATCGCAGTATTTCGTCTTGGTATCGGTTTTTAATAGTGGTAACTCGAATCTTTTACCTTAGTTAGATATTCTTGTAAACCATTTGTATTGACAACTTTGCCAGCCTTACGTTTTTCTAAGTTTACCAAACTGAATCTGAAAATCGCAAAGTTTTAAACGTCTTGAATAAGGAAAACACCAGAAATTTAATGTAATGGTTTATGTTAAACACACTTTATGTTTTGCAAATTGAAAGTTTTTATTTCTTCTTCAGTATAACTCGGCATAGTGCTGTAACGTATGATGCCATCTTGATCAGCCTCTGCAACCAGCTCATTACTCTGAAAAACAATCCATCATAACATATTACCTGAATAATTTTTGAGTTTCACAATTTAATAAAAGAATTACTTTTAACTTTTTGAAAAATTCACGCTCAATTTGCAAGGCTTCGTGCAATCCATAGTCGTCATCATCGTTATTTGCTTGAAGTGATTCGGGCAAACGGTCCAAACACTCTACATAGCATAAATGTAGAGTTTTCATCTATAACTTAAGCGTTTAAAAGAGTCATCAAGCAAATCCAATATGAAGCATGTGATAGGTACCATCCAAAATCTAGTGGATACTGATAAATTAAAACTAATAATAAATAGCAATTTTAATAATTATCAGAACAAGAAGATATTGAATAAGAAAACTATTAAACTTCTGTTGCGCACTTGTGCTTTGCTTATGATTTTTTACGCTTTTCTCACAAAAAAATGTTTGAGAAAAAAGTAAACCAGCACCAAATCTGAGATGCAGCACACTACTTGAAATATTTAAAAATAATCTTATTTCCCACTTTAGCAGTTAGCTTTGGAAAATTTATGTTAAAGGGTTTACTTTGATGTGATAATTGTAATACAACCATGCTTACTTTATTATCAATAGAAGTTAATTTTCCTAGCTTGTGTTCCAGCGACTTTGAGTGCTCGCTCAGCAAGCGTACTGAATCAATACATTTTTTTTTAAGTTCAACCTCTTCCGCATCTAATTCAGAATTCTTCTCCAGTGCTTCTTTCACTTTCGATTCTGCTTCTTTCAGCGATTTCTGTAACTTGTTTCTCAGCTCTTTAAAAAACAAAACATAAAACTCAATAATGCTTAACTGAAAGGCGAATAAATAAAACATATTTTGAACATCATCAATTATTTTTGCTAAAAGATCCGAAAAGGTAAACATGTAATGGAGTCTGATTTCATTAAAAACATGCACTTTTGCTTTTTGGACTCTCGCAATTGAAAAAAATACAAAACTAACCTCTTGTTGAATCTTTTGTTTTGTAAGCTTGTTGATATCCACTTCTTTATTATCTTCCACTGATTCCAGCTTCGTGATAGCTTCTTCAGTTCCTCGTTTGTCATTTTCTAGATCTATCTTCCTAATAATGATTTAATTCACTATTTATGCTTCATACAAATCATTATTCCTTGTTACATCGTAATTACCAAACCTGCTCATTGCTTTCGCTGTATTTCGTTGAGCATTATTTAAGATACTTTGTTCTTTTGTTGCTCCTTTTGACGCATTTTCCTTTCTACAATATACAAAAATTAATATAACTTACGAAGTACAGACAAATCTGAAAGAAAAAAATTAATAATAATACAAATTATATATACTGTTTCAAAAGAAAACCTCAATCGGATGGCGTCAAGTTCTATTTGGTGAGGCCCAACGACTTGGTCATATATCTTCTGAATTTTTGAATTTATTTCTGCGACTTTATTACGTGCATCTTCAGCTGCTTGTAAAGCTCTGTCACGAACTGCAAGAAAGGATAAATAACAAAAGACGGGCCTACATCACAAAAAATTAATATTTAATCAATAGAAAAAATAAATAAAACTAAAAACCAAACCTTCTTCGAGCTTCGCAATTTCGATTTTCTTTTGTTCTATGCTTTTTTCATCGATAGCAACGCTTTCAAGTCTACTGAGTTGTTCTTTCAATATTTGTTCCATACTGACCACTTTTCGTTCTAAATGTCCAATTTCATGAGACAGACTTTGCTCATTTTTTGTAAGTCTGTCTTGATCAGCTTGAAGAGGCACTATGCGAGAATTCAGCTAGAACAAACAAAAATCCTTCCAAAAACGGTTCGCAAAATAAATCTGTCCTACCCAGTCAATTTTACTGAGAACTATATATATAATGATTAAAAGTAGACAATTCGTTAAAAATATAACGGATGATTTTGAAGAACGAACTTCTAGTCAAAGTTGAAAAATTAACCTTCTGCATAACAGACCGTACAGTAGCAAGTCGGTTTTGTTCTTCATCAAGAGCCTTTTTGAGTTCGGTTACTTTGACCGAATCCGTTGTAGTATCAATTCTAACATTTTGACCAATTCTTCCTCTAAAATTGCGTAGAATATAAAGAAAAGAAATAAGCATGAGAAAGACTGCTTACAAAGTAAAATTTCTTGATGAGAACCTTTTTTGGGAATTTCCTCCACCAGTCATGGCACCACTTGTTTCAACCACTTCACCATTCAGTGTAACTACACGCCATCGAACATTACCATCCAACCCGATACGCGTTGCTGCCGTGATATCATTTGCTACTAAAGTGTCACGTAATACAGAATAAAATGCAGGCAATATAGCGGGATCTTTAACACGAATCAAATCAAATAATCGAGGTACATTTTCTGGGCTGAAAAAGAATGACTGACAGACACAAGAAACACATTTTGCAAAGAGATCAAAGTTCATCCACAACTAAGCTTGAAATTTCTCACAACTGTCTTTCAAGACAATACTAAAATATTTTAAAAATAAATGAAACTAAGCAGCCAAACAATCTAGCTGCTTAATTTCATTTACTTTTTGAAAATTTTCTCCTGGTTTTGTATCTTCTAGAAAAGAAGGCAATAACACTATGATGGATAAAATGTACTCATCAATTTAAACATTGTAAACTTCAAAAGGACGTACGTGGAGGGCAGTCTTCCCATATATTGACGGAATTTATCTTGCTTATCAAGAGCCATGAAAGAACCTATACCCAAATTTTCACGTTTCAAGAATTCTATGCATGTTTGAGCAGTTTCAATGTTATCAACTATAATAAAATCCAAGGCTCCACATGTAGTCGAGATAGCTACATCGTACTTTTCATCGATTGCGCCAAGATCACCCTGAAAAATATGAACTTATATATTACTGATGTATAGGCATGTTTCCTATATTTAGTGCCTGTAATGCATCATGGTTTTTTATATAACACATTAGACATCAACAACTTAGAAATTAGATAATCATTTGTAATGAAGAATCTAACTCATCCAAGAGTAACTGATTCCCAATACAAAAGATAACCATATAGAAATATTAATGAAACACAGAAATATTAACTATTCGTGAAAGATTTTTATCACAGATTATAATTCTCAAATATATTCAGAACAAGGAATTTACAAGCCGCCCATATATCCCAGGTATATTTCCAGATGATTTTTCTTGCATTAAACGTCTCAGCATCTTATTATGAGTTTGATATTCTTCTAATACTACTCTCTTCCGTTCAAACTTGGACATAAGTTGTCGAACCTGAAAAACTATTTAATAAAACTAATACGAAATATACCAAAATATCTCACGAGTTATCCACATATAGTTTATTTCCCACCGCATAATCAGTACATTAGCTAAAAAAAGATTTAGTAGCATAATTCTATGTTTCAAGTATATTAGCTAAAAAAAAGAATTAGTAGCAAAGCACCAATTCCTTGTTTTAAGGCATACTTTTCTAAAAACTTTGATTTAATTATCAAAGATGATATATATTTTAAGCAGTTCAAAATAATTTATAAAATTAAGAACTAAAAGACTGACCCTATCAGCACATTCTGTTTCCTCCTTTTTTTTAGTCATGAAATCACATTGTAGAGCATGAAGTTCCTTATTAATATTCGGAAGTATCTTATTCAGTTTGACTAATTCACTAAAATTAAAATAATATTTGGGAAGATCTGGACGCGAAACTGTAATGGAAATTTAAAAAAACCCCAAACTGAAAAAATTAATAAGAAAACTTGCTTTTTCTTAGATTCCAAGAGTGATTTTGAATCCCCGAGTTCTGTACGGACTTCAAGCAGTTTTTTATTTTCCATTTCCTCCTCTCTGCGCATTAACTGCAGCGATTCTTGAGCCAACGTTAACTGAAAATATCCATAAATATCTCAACAATGATGGGCGATTATTAAAACCTATTTCAGTCAAACCTCTTCTTTTTTCATTTTGTGAATGCCCAATAATAATACAGATATTAAGAACCAATTCTATCGAATTTTACAAAGACTTCTGATTCTTTTATTTAGTGAACTTTATTATTTTCTGTCTTCTGCACTTTTTCAAGATCTTTTTTGTCGTCTAATTAATCACATTCCCACTATATGAGTTAGGCTTCTCAAGATTTCTAATTTCCTGAATATAGAAATGGATACTTTGAACGAAAGTTTGCCGATGATAACATGGCTAAAGTCAATGGCTTCTTTATCACTTTCTTCATAATTATAAATTCTATGGAAATAATAAATGAATGTGATGGACTATTAATAAATATGATAAAAAGCTATGGTTTTGCAATTTAGATATATAGTTATGACTCTTTTCGCTAACAAAATTTTGATCATTTCTTCCCCTAAAAATGTGCTAAATATAATAAAATGAAACCTAACAACAGGGTATGGCAAAAACAATGGATTACACAACTTTAACGCTTCGAGTAATTTGTTTTTAATTATCAATTCATGCTAACTGAAACTCTTCTATTGATTGTTTATTTCAGACTTATGATAATATCGACCGATTTTAAAGGTTTGTGATACATACATAGTTTATTGTATACTAGGCTTCGAAATTTCATCGCACAACTGTGTTCTTGAAGCACTTTTGCTTTTGTAATTTTAATTGGTGCAGTTGACTTCATAATGCTTAGCTTATATATCTTAAAAGTCTGACCTTGCTGCTTGCTTCGTCTTCTTTAGCAGTGAGCTTTCCAAGTTGTTCTTCTAATGTTTTCTTGGGATCTTCAAATATAGCTGTTTGTTCTTGTACTTCTTTCAAATGAGCATCAACCTGTAGCAACCTTTAATCATACCCAAAATCACAAAGAATAATACTATAGTACAAATCTCACTTCAGTTTGCTTGCGAGTAATCTCATCATCAATACCATTTAGTATTTCGAGAAATTCTTCAAGTTTCTTCTTAGCTTTCAGTGGAACTTGTTCTAACTCAGCGATCTAAAATACTATTTATTTATGTCACAAAATATATAAACATAGCAAGTACTTTTGATAGTTATACGTTATCTGAATAATTTGACGTTATACACTCAGCATAACTGCTCGTAAAAGAGTGAGACATATAAATTGCAGACATTGAGCGTGATGGAGCTATGTATCATACAACATAAAATTTAATTAAAAAAAGAATCGTTCATTTTCTGTGATATTTTCAGAAAGCAATTACGACTCCTCACAAACAACATCTCTTTTCATGCATTATCTTCTAACTACATCTTCAAAAGTCAAGAAGAAAAATAGAAGGTACTTTAAGCTATATTGAATCCAAATATTTCTTGCTTGGATGACTACTTTTTCAAACCACGAAATTTAAAAAAAAATGCATGTTCGCATATGAACTGGTGATAATCCATAACTGTCATTGCAAAGAGATAAAAAAACCTTTTTTTCTTCCTTCGTAATGTCCTCGACCAATTTACTTCTCTTTTCATTGAGACGAAGTAGCTCAGCCTTACGTCTTTTTTCTGCCTGCTCGAACTCGCTAAGCTGATGTTTCGTTTTTTCAAACTCTTCCTGAATTTTATCGAACGCTCTGCAAAGGTAATAGAATTTAAAATTAAATCTACGATATATCCATAATCTATGCCTGCTATATATAAATGTGAAATACCAGAACCACAATAAATCTAGAAACAAAACGAAAAGTAATACTTTTGAAGCTCTTTCTGCTCATCCTTCCTGTTTTTTTGCAGGGCTAAAACTTCCTGCTGTCGTTGTTTCGCAACTTCTAATTCTTTCTCAAGTTTTTCTTTTTTTTCCTCATCAGCTTTTAATTCCAGTTTAATTCCACATCTAGATAGGATATATATAATAAATGTGGATTTTTAAATGCAAAAATGATTGAGTTCTGAAGAACTGACATAGAAAATAAGTCACATCAATAAGTACAACAAAAAAGAATTTCTACAACTTCAATTCGAAATATACTTTTCAGCTTGAAACAAACGATTTTTTGTCAACGCAACACCGTTGTCAACACGTAGTTCGGTAACAAGATTTGCCATAGGACCCTCTGCATCAATCTTTTCTTTCTCAGCAAATTTTGTGCGATTCAACTGGGCAGAACGTTCTTCTTGTAACTGGTCGATTTTTTGCTGGATTTTTTCGATTGGAACCTTAAAATGAAGGAAAACGTAAAAATCAGAACAATGTATTTTAGAAAGAATGACTGATTTAATCTAACATCAAACTTTTTTCATGCAATCTTAGGATAATAATCAAAATAAAAACTGACTTTGAGTCTGCTTGAACCTATGATGTCTTCCAAATATTCAAGCATGCCATCATCGTTCTCGTTCAAAGCTTTGGGTTTCATCAAAGCAATTTGTTCTACTTCCCCCTACAACTCATTATTTTAGAAGCGAAAATTATTAGTACAAATTATGAATAATTAGTTTTAACAAGAAATGATGCATAAAAATTATTGCCTGTAAAATAAGGAAGCGATTATGAATGAGATCGATCCCAACATCTCGTAAAAGCGTTGCAATTTCTTTAAATTGCATTGTCTTTCCATTATATGTATATTTCGAAGAATTATCTCGAAATGCTGTTCGACTGACAGTAAACTGACTATGTGGTACAACATCGTAACTACCATCCGGCTTAAAAAAATTTATGATTAGGAAGAAAATTTATATGAAATGAAACTTTCTGACTGAAAAATGAAATTTGATGTAAATATGATTGGTATTTTCTGCAAAAACATTTGTGCCCTGCAAACAATATTTTAAAAGCATTTTTTAGTTGCAACCTACAAAGGCTTAATTAGTATTCACAATAACTAATTAAATGCTGCAACTCAGGTCAAAGTTTATGCACATATACTTCTCACCTATCTTCTTAGTGAAATTCTGAGTAAGAAACTATGTTTTGAGCTCGAAACTAAAAACTGCGACATAATTGCTCGCTCGCAAATTTCAATGAACTCAATTACTAACCAGATCAATGATTTTTTGAAAATTTACACCAACGGTACAACTCGATATGTCTTCGCGTCCAGCAGAAGAATGGATAAGGACACTAATTTTTTTTGAGCGAATTTTCGATGCACGATAACCGAAGACAAACAACAACGAATCAATTACATTACTTTTTCCACTTCCATTAGGACCAATCACAGCCGAAAAATTCTGGAGAAAATTGCCTTAATAGTTACATGAGATTTTTCTTCAAAACGTAAATACAGACAAAGAGAACAAGTAAAAATGCTGGATTTTCGATTACAAATGACAATATCACAAATGCTTCATAAATTAAATCTCCAACTTACATGATGAAAAGGGCCCAAAACATGCTTGCCATAATAAGATTTGAAATTTTCAACATTGATACTAGTTAACATCAGCCTATTTCCATTACCATCAGCACTCATAATAGGTTCCGGCATTGGAGGAATTTCCATATTCAATAAATTCTGAAAAAAAAGTAATATTAAGATATTAATGTTGTTATTTGTACAACAAGTAAAACATTGAGACACAAACTTTGTGTCCCTACAATTTGAAGTCAATTGAAGCCTACATATAAAAAAAACACATATTCATAACATCATAACATGCCCCCACTCCGAAAAACTACATGTTTTAAAAAAGCATGTCCTACAAAATCATACAAAGGTGCTTACTTCCTCATTCACATCGTTACGTATCTGCGCTCTCAAATCTTCTTCATCACTTTCTGCATCTTTAACCGATCCATGTCGCATGGCTTTTACTGCAAATAATATGAAGCCATCGGGCAAAGGTTAAAAAAAATTACTTTCAATACCAAAGAATTAGATTTGATTTTTATTTTTAAAACACTTAATTTCCGGATACAAAATATACGGCATCTCCTGCCATCTTAATCTTCAATTAATAATTATAATTATAAAATAAACGGAAAAAAGATGAATTTTGCAGAGTATACCTTTGGAGGAGGTGCCGTCATTATTTATGTTAATTTCCGAAGTTTGCGAATTCTTGAGTTGTTTGCGCCGTATCATTAGTTTAGAATAAACAAGCTCCTAGTTTCAATAGCGAATTTAATAAAAATTATATGCAATGGTAAAACGATTTCTAGGCTTTAGCATTAGGGAAATCAAGTAGAACAAGTAGAACAAGTAAATGATGGCTGAAAAATGAAGAAAAAAAACGAAATTAACCTAAAAATGATTATCAAACTTCGATGAATAATTCTGTTACGTTAATAAAACAACTAAACTGAAATCAGTAATTATTGATTGAAATTATGCGAGAAAAACATTAGGCAGCAAAATTTTAGTAAAATATTAACACTTGTATTTTAACAACTAAGCTGAACTTATATTTCAAATACCATCAACAAGTGAATGTGTTTAACCACAAGAAATTAGATACAATACATTAGGAACATAAATTTCTGAAACAGATAAGATTTCAGCATACCACCTAGTGCCGAAGTACAGTTCAAAACACTTCTAGTTTAAATTAATAAAACACTAAACAATAGTTCATGAAAATACTGCAAAGAAGGATTGAATACTGTATTCCGATTAATATTCAAGCCAAATCCCGGTCGTGATTCAAGTAGCCACTAAAGGTTCATAATTTCGGGTTCGAAAGACTAATTTGAATTATTTGTTCTAATTAAAAGTGATTAACATCAAGATCGAAATAATTAACACTGGAAGATTTCTGAAAGAAAAGAAAATTTGCCAGACATTTGAATTTGCATTTATTAAGAGATCATCAATACTTATAACGACAACGATATTTATGTAAATTTGCTAGTAAAGAGTATAAATAATAAAGGATGAGTCACTGCTGCAAAATACCCAAGCAATTTCTAGTCACTATGGAGATTTCCTCTCACTAAAGAAATGGTATATCATGCGGTTACTGCGAAACAGCATCTACTGAAGGTTCGAGCTGAGGAAACTAATGATAGTAAAAAGCCGGAGGCTCGTTGGGTGGCTGACTTTGTTATTGAAGTGAAAGGCTACAGTTGGTTTTGATCTATTTCAGGATGTGCTGGAATGAACTTTTGACCTATACTCTAGTCCTTCAATAACTTTTTTTTTCGGAATGTATTCAGTCCAACATAGTCGATAACCCCCAGACTGTTGATACTCCGCTAATTTCAACTGCACTCAAACAACACCTTTTATTGGACTTTGTGAAATAATTTTGTCTCGGATATTTTCTAAATATTTGAGTGCAACTTTACTACTTGAAGATGTATTACTGTATGACCCTGGTTGCCGTTCTCAAGGGGCAAGTTTAAAACCGTACACAGATGGTCAAGCTGTCTCTTCACAAAAGTGTAAGATATATGCATAATTTTATGTTATTAATTTGTAATTTTCTGAGCAACACTTATGTATATAATTTCAAATTAAATCCTATGTTAATATCTTGAGAATTAGTGGTACAGAAGCATAGATACTATGCAAGACTTTGCACTTACATCACAAATTTAAAGAGTTAAAGAATTCTTCTTGTTATTACAACACTGAAAGTTCTATTTTATCCATAAATGGAAACAAAAAAGCAAATTTTATAGTCCAGAATGACGGAATCATTTATCATTTGACTTGTCAATGCCGCAAGCAAAATATTGTGTGGGTAAGAACTTCAAGCAATTCCGGAGTTTTGATCGGCAATTGTCGCAAGAAAATTCGAATTTTCACGGATGAAGCAACGCTTTGTAATGCGACACTTACTGCAGTGTTAGGTAATTACTGTGTTGATTCAGTTATCCCAATAATGCATTATTCCAAATTCACGAAATGAGGTCAAAGTTGATTGAATAAAAATGTATTGAAAGAACAACTTTCATTTGTAAGTTTTGGGATGAAAAATATTACATTGTCTATCACAATAGTATCACATAATTAGATTCTTTTATTAGTTTTTTAAGTTTAGTTATCTTATTATTCAGAGTGATAATTAACTTCGACTCATTGTTATGAATCATTCAGTTCAATAATTTTTCTTTTTCAGTTTCTCTGGCAGGGAATCGTTCTACGGTAATACTGCAGTTAAAAAAAGCCGATGTCAAACGTGAATACTTTTTTCTTTTGAAAGTTAACTGTATAAAATTTTTTAGCACAAGCAAAAGTAATGATTTTTTCTGATTTACTAATTACTTTTTATGAGATTTAATAATTATCTTTTTTTTAAATAAGTTCTTTAGCTCAATTAATTTAGACGAAAAAAAATACAGCAGTGATGAGTTGTCGAGGTCATTGCTCATTTCTTTCCCACCACCTCATTCTCTTCCGAAATTAGTCGAAAATTATGTAAAAGTTTGTTTTCATTTCATTTGCATTGTTGAAATTATGAATATAATGTTTGATACTATCAGTACACCACAAATTTGTAATAAAATTACTTCTTACAAGGAAAAGAAAAAAAATTTAAGGGTATTGGATTTATGGAAGAAATTGAACGTATGGACAATTTGATGAAGCAGAATGAACAATTTGTTAAACAGTTCATATCTATTTTAATTCCACTAATTATAAAAGCCACACCTGTAAACTTACTAAAGTGTGATTATGATGACATAAAAATCTTGTGCTTTTCATACAATCATAGTAAGTACTACAGTTTTTGACCTTTTTTTAATTAATAGAACCATAATTTGTTTGTGCTATTTTGTTAGCAATTAAAAACTAGAAGTAAAACTAAGTAAAAATTTTCAGTAATTTTAAAATTTAAATGCAAAAACATGACATTTACAAAGATTAAAAACTTTATTTAAGTTTCATTAAAAACGTTATTTGAGTTTCAATTTTTTAGTAATTATTATGTGATTTTTTTCAGAAAAAAAATTAATGCAACACTATCTCGCAGAATTTAGACAAACATTAATGAACCAAATTGGAACCTATTATTCAGAAATACCGAATAATACTCTCTACTAATTACCAGCTTGTAATTTGTATACTACTAACTTTCATTAAATGTCCTATAAAAAAATATATTTTGTTAATAAAATATCTTGAAATGAATATTTTTCATTCTAAACAACGTGAAATTAACAATACTATGAAGTCGAATTAAAATTACACTGAGAGAATTGAGATAATGTCTCTTGATTTTATTTTGTTCAAAAAATCAAAAATTAGCATTATATGAAATTACTTTTTTTCCTTTCATATTCATCATATTAGGTTTTTGTTAAGTAATTTAAACAGTTTTTGGCAAATATGACAGTGATTGAATTCAAAAAAGTATCATTATTATCACGTATCACGTGTTATTATCATGTAATATGCGTTTAAAGACCTGCACACGAACAGCTGCCACAGTGCATGCCAAACATGCATGTGTTCCCCATAACACATGTAGTTGCATTACCTTTCTCATTGATACAAGTAGGGAAACCAAGAGAAGCCTAGAAAATTCAGTTTTCTGAAATTTGCATTTTGAAGGTGGGATAATCATACAGTTCTCTCTTATGAAAATAAATACCAACTTTTGCAGTTATTAAATTTTTATTGCATCTTGTAAAGTTAATTTGATTATGTAAATATTAATAAACAAACCGAAATTCCACCAGCACAGATAATACCATTTGCTCGTAAACCTAATTGTGATGGGTCTTTGTGTCGTATGCAGGCATTTGCGAACATCGCACATAAACCGGTACCGTATCCTTCACAATCACTTTTCACAGTAGTAGGAGTGCAAGATACTGCGTCGTATAAGCCATCACGTAGTCGACCACCACCAACGCATACCCCCGTGAGACATTGTGTCCCATTAGCACATTCGTCCTCAAAAGTAAGAATAATATTTACTGGGAAAGAGTGTAATACCTGAGAAGCAGCAGTTATGCACTGTTTGACCTTTCTTCTTTTACGTTAAATATCTAAATAATGCAAAACTTCTACACGCAAATGTGTTTCATGTTAATATTTGCAAGCAATAAAGTAAAGAATTGTGAACAGGTATTCATAATTAGTAATGTCGTAATTTACTCTACGCAAAATATTCAAGAAAAAACCCTAAATTCATATCATCAGTGGAGAAGTTTTACAACTTGCAATAATGTTCAAAAACTGTATTTTCTGTAATGTCATCACTTAATATGTAAGGATTTGATGTGTAGGTTTGTTGAAAAAAAATTAAAATTTTGCAACACAGCACAGTTGGTAAGAATTTATGATGGCATTGACCTTTGAACCACATTCATCGTGAACAAAAGCAGCATATTTGGTACAAGCATTATTGCATGTGCCACCGAAACAATCATTCTTTGTAGCACAAGGTGCTTTGTGAATACACTGACATCTACATTTACCATACACACAGCGACCCTCTCTACCACAATCCGTCGAAATAGAACATTTCTAAAAATTAATTGGTAATTAATTAATTAATTAATTAATAATGGATTGAATTAGATCCATTAATCTTAATTTTTATAAAAATCTTCGAAAGTTGTAATAGAATTGCTTTTTTCTAATTAACGTATAATTTTGAACTATAACTGTGTTACAGCCTTTGAAAGTTGATTTTCTGAGTTCACATTCGGTATTCTTCGAAACAAAAATTATCAATAAAATGCATCAGATTAAAATCTGCTTTTTTTAGAAAAAGCAACTGTAAAGCAAGTTTTCATTTACCAAAAATTTAAGCAATCATATCTTTGATATTTAATTTGATAAGCTTTCTGTCACATATGAACGTACGATATTATTCATGCAGTCGTTGACTGTAGCCTTCCGTTCATTTTTCAAAACTAATTCCATGCTTGAATCTTTTAGAGATCTGCTGGCATTGTAATCTTGATAGAATCCTTCACTTTTATTACTGTCATCCTTTTCTTTCTTCCATAGCAAACATCTCAAAGTATTATCTGCAAAATACTCAATTAATTAAAATAATCCACTAATTAGTATCCAATTTAGTATTATTCCATTATTATTCACTAAAAGTTATTAAAAAATTTTTATTCCTAATTGATATAACTTATTTACAATTAACTACACTAGTTCTAGTACTTGGTTATAAAATACTTGATTGCATTAGTTTTCATACTTAGTAATAATCAGTAAGAATTCTAACTGTTAAATTAATTAACTGAAATTTTAAGCTACAATTTTCTAGAATTGATCAATTAAGATGACAATGGTGATCTGTTTCTTACGTACAATACACAGTTAACTTATTTCAAATTCCAAATCAATTTATTAGCTATCCATTAAAATATTAGTGACATAAGATTGATAGTTTAATTAAATACTCGATAAATTATTTATTTTGATTCAAAGTCATCTACTACTAACTAAACTAAAATCACTAAAATCCTTATGTTAGTGAGTAGCTTACTTAAATCATCCAATAACTTGTGATCTGAAATGAATGGGTTTCTTGGCGCAAGGGGCGAGCACTGATCCGTCATGCCGAATAGCATGAGAAGTAGAAACTACAAATATTATAGATGAAACTTTCAATTAATGATTTTAGTGATTAATATTTTAATTGTTATCGAAATTTTAAATCTACTGCTGCAAGATAACTAAAGTTTATTTAGAAAACACAAAGTTCAGTAGGAAAAATTTTTCGAGAGTATAATTTGATTATGATTGTACATTATTAGATTAATTAGTTTATTAATCATAGATAGTTAATTTAAAAATCATGTTTTTCTTTGATGAATTCTGTTAAATTTGAATAACATTTGATCGATAATATATTAAATTATTAACGTTACGAATTTTTAAAATTTTTCTTCAACTAAATCATACCATTAAAAAAGAAGAAAATTTTTTATTAATTAATTATTACTATTTATTTCTAATATCCTATTAAATCACTTAAATATTGCAAATTATTCGGTAGTTAATAATTGTTTATTTAGTAATTAAATTCAAAATTTTTACCGTTATAACCAAAATTGCCATGAGGAAGATGAAAGAATAAACACTTGCAGACAGAAAATAATGGTTATATGAAGGTCATATCTTGACCTCTTATGCTTGCACGCTCATGTCAATAAAAAGGTGCAATCATATTCAGTTTCAAGGTTGTGCCATCTGCTCCAGCTCGATCTCAACATTTTCTCATTGGAAGATATCCAAAAATAAATTTTTTGCTAATTTTTGTCACCAAATCTTTACAATAATTCAAGGGAAGAAATATGTTTTCACACTGTACAGACAGTATTTTAAAGAATCTCAGCAGAATAAAGTAAATAGTATTGATATTATTATGGTAATTTTTTACAGATCTGATAGACAACACTGTGAAGTATTTTTCACAAATCAAAAAGCCAACATTTTTATTCATATAAAAATTCAAAAATAGTCCACAATAATCATAAATTAATCAAAGTTTGTTTGAAAATAACTTGGAGTTATTTTCGTACTAATCGACCGACTAATTTGTAATCTTTCTGCCAACTTCAGAAACACTCAGTAAGTTCATAGAAAATTACTCGATCAAATATAAAAGGACAAGAGGTCAAGATATGACCTCCATATAGAAAGTTGTGAATTTTTTAATAAGTTTTTCACGGCTGAGCGAATTTCTAAAAATGTAAAAAAAAGTGAAGTTACTCAACACGTAAAGCCACTATTCATAAAATAATAAATCACATTTATGTCTCCATAGCAATACTTGCCAACGTAATAAAAGCATTCAGTTTGAAGAATTTAGCTTAAAAATTCACGAAAAAATAATTAAAATAATTGAAAATTATTTCTCGGAAATATTAAAAATTTTCATGCGCTATGATCCACGAGAAATCGAAAAGCATTTCGTATTTCGAGTTTAAAGGTCAGTTTTATGAATGTGAACCAATATCAGATGAAGAACTTGAAGCGGAATGTCATCTGTGGGCTCGAACCTTAGCCCATCTGAGGTTTTTTCTTGGCAATTTTATACTAATTCAAATATGTATATTTTTAACCTTATTTGCATTTATCTTATTGCCTTTATTACTTGTCACTTATCTCTAATTTCACTTAAGGCACTTTTTTGGCTAATTTTATGAAGCAATATACTAATTACTCACAAAAATCCTTATGAAAAATGGCTCAAAGGATTAATAATATTATTAAGTGCAAAATAAGAATTTTTCAAGAGTTGCGGAAAAAGCGTAGGGCCAATTCACGGTGATAACTTGAAATACGTGAGAGGACAAACTTTCGACCGCTTAGTGCAAAATTTTCTTTGGGATTCGGTAAGTAATTATTTTCATTTAAAGTATGCAAAATCAAATTTTTTTAATTCAGAAAACAAGGCTTGTAAATAGCTAAGTCATATTAAACCATCCATTGTGAGGTGTAGATTTTGCATATACTTTCCTTTTTTTTGTAAAGTTAAAGCAAACAATTTCATTAACTTAATTAAAAAATATTTTAAAAACAAATAGCTTAATAAATAGAAACCTTATCAATCTGTTAAACTGTGCTAATTATTAACTCATAGCTTATTACCACTAAATTTTGGTTTTTGATTAAAAACGTTAGTAACGAAATTTTATTTACATTAGTGTCAAACTTCCTTGAGACGAAAACTTTTTATTTGATCATTATTAGATGAAATTTCAAAAGAATTTCAGGTTACAGCTATGTTGAGGAAAAGGTTAAAGGGCAAGAATCTGTCGTTTAATATACAGCGAAACAAAACAACAATGCATCATCAAAACCTGTAGTTAAAAAGTCGAAATCCTTACCTTCTATTTGTAATAAAAATAAAAACTGTTATTTTTAATTTTGGGGTAGTTGTTAAAATGATACTACTGCTAAAATTTCAACAATTAATTTGTATAAAATTTGTAATTATTTTTTTTTGTTTGGAATAAAATTAATATTTAACGCAATTATTATTAGAAACAAACTTGATTTCAGAAAATGAATCATTCAAAGCAGAATGAATTATAGTAAATAGTTAAACATCCAGTATCTGCAAAGTGTGAACTTTGCAACGGATAATGAATTTAATATTCAAAAAATAATAAATTAAATAAATTTTGGTAGTTTCGCGTTTTTTTTCTTCAAATTATACTTCAGTTAATAATGAAAGTAAATGATATTTTAAATTAAGAACTTGAGTATATTTTAAAAAATCTTCCCTTCTGATTATACCTTACTTTTTAAGTCTTTCTTTTTAAACGTTCAGTTAATAGGTTCTGAAGGTTGTTGAAGGTCTCGAAAAACAAAACATAAAAGGATATACTGATTGGAGGTATCAGATAATCAAGCGGATTAATAATATCGCGAAATCCTGGTTAATTCATTTAACTTTTTTTTGAATGTCTTAAGTCAATTCCTTCATTCAAAGTATATTTTTTGTTTTTACTGATTTTTAGTATTTTATAAATAATTATAAACAATATAATATCTGCTATGAAGATGACTTTCAATCTGAGAGTGCTTGATTACTCAAACTAATTCATGTAGTACAAACATTTGATGAATGCAAATAATTACAAAAAATATTATTGATAAAACTTTCGTAAAATTTTTGGAATCAAATTATTTATTAAAATGTACTATGAACTACTTATTTTTATTTTATTTATTTATTTTTATTTTTATCATTCATTTATTTTTTATTTGATTTTTCATAGTAAGAAGTACTTTACAAATAAAGATGAATATTTTTATTAATCATTAATAATTGTAATGCAACAGTTAGAAATAACAAAATGATATATAATAAAAAATTCCCAAATTATTATTTTAGTCATAAATTTTAAAGTCATTACTTATCTTTATTTTTATTATTTCAGTCATTACCAATAACGCCAAAAGTGTAAGCGACGGAAACAACTACGATACTCTTTACCAGATCTGTCAGTGATATTAATTGCTCCAAAATCGTAAAATTGCTTCTTTACTTCAGAATGAAATCGGTCAAATGGCTGAGCATCCACGTAACTGTAAGGTATGTAATCCTCCAAAATAAGCTGACAGATCTGAAATAAAAACAAATAAATAACACAAGCAATAGACAAGCTTGAAGTAAAAAATTTTGTAATTTCGATCAAAAAGAAATCAAGTACCGCGGATTCATCATTGCAAGCATGGTAGACGTTAATTTTGGGGATTATTTTTGAAATCTCATACAGGCATCCAAAGACTTGAAAATATCCAGTAGCATTTGTATAAGTACTCCCTAACAAGTCATCAGTATCGAGTAAAAAAGGTGATTCTAAAAGTATGCATTTTTTTTATGTCTTAACAATTATAAACACGTTAAATGAATAAATGTTAAAGTAATTTTCACGCTGAAAAATTTGATTACACGAAAATTTAATACTTAAAAAAAATAAATTAAATGCTTAATCATATATGCATAAAGCCTTTTGTATACTGAGATATGTTTGTATGCAATGCTGAATTATCATTTAATATCAAGCAGTTATTTTGACTATTTCTGATACTAAATATCATTTTAATATGTCATTACAAAAGTTGGATTTCAGTTTATAATGCGCAAAAGCTTTGTAAGCATAATTAAAGACATTAATTTACAAAAAAGTGATTAATTAACCAACTATCTTCATCGTATAATTCCACCAATACATTAGGAGATGGTCTTCCATTACACATTAGCCTCCCCGTTGCTCCAACACACTGCCTTTTTGCATAAAGCAGATATATCTCAATAAAGCTGAATGCCTGAGGAATAATCGTAAGTACCATAAATATGTTAATCAGCATTTTTCTGAAATAATATAATCGAAATACTTGATATAAAAATATTTGCTTCATATAAGAAACCACTAATAATTATATTTGACGACATAAGGTTTTATTATAATTGTAGTACTGTCTAAATTTAGTATTTGATCATTCTATATGGAGTCTAGTTTTATACTAAGTATGAATTTTTTGGAAGTTTTATTCATTCATTTGAATACAAAATATTTTTTAATTACTTGGCTTTGATTAATCTATGAATATTCAAAATTTTAAAATTACATCAAACATATATCTCATACCTTTGATGAGAAACCCTGAATGCTTGATATGTCAAGTCAAAAAAGCACTCACTTGATAACTTTATATTTTTATACCAATTCTAAATGTTTTGGTTACAAAAATAAAACAACTACGACATAAATCGCTGAAATTTATTACATTTCATTTTGCTTGATTATATTCCATTATTATTATTATTATTGTACACAATTCTCTTCTCAAAAATATTTACAGAATTTTTGGCTTCTAAAATAACAAAGGTATTTTAGTAATAAAGAGAATGCTCTGATGATGAGATGCACCTGAGGAAAACGACAAATGAATGATGCATGCAATACAACGAACAAAATAAAATAAATAAACTTGAAAAATATTTTTTAATAAAAATGTTTTTACACTATTTTCATATGTACTTTTATTCTCTACCAAGATTTGTACTTCAAACTCATAAATACAGCATCAAGTACAGAAAATCTATGGAAAACACATAAAGGATTCACAAATTCATAGCTTTCTAGAAATAAGAGCAATTGTAAGCAGTTAATTTTTCATCAAAAACAGACTTCCAAGCTAATGTACGAAATAAGAGATGACAGTGTAATACATATTCAAATAATATTCTCTTACAAAAGTTTATGAAAAACAGTTTCATAACCAGAAGCATTCAAAGTTTTAAGCATAATACTCTAGGAAACATCTATTTCTGAGATTTCAAACATGTTCAGGATAAATTTTGCCGGTTCGATACATTAAGAACTGCAGTTTGGAATGCAGCGCATGCCTGAGAAAACAATATCAATTCTTCATTACTGAATTCTTTTATACGATCACCTGAAGGCAAAATTCATTTTTAATCAAAGAAATTATTCATACCACTTTTAATTATTTATGATGCTTTGGTAATAAAATACATAATTATTCTATTCTTAAAAATTTAGAAACATGGAACCCTAGAAACGAAACATGAATGGAGTACATATAACTTTCTTCCATCACAATATTTTCAAATCATTGAAATATTTCAGATTGAATTTCAGCAATAAGGAATACAAATTTCAAACTCTCATTCAATGCAACTCGAATGAATTCAGCGAAAACTGAATAAGATGCACTCTACAAATTCATTTATTCTTGTTGTTTCCTATGCAGGTTAATTTCGTGAAAACTACTCCATTTTTCATGAAGTATTTGGTGTATATCTTATCTGAAGTATAAAATAATAAAAATTCCGTAAAACTAATCAGTTCGATTAATTACCTGATATAGCTGCAACAACAGAATTTTCAAGAAAGCAATTATAAGCTTTCTTGAGTGGAATAACGAAATCATCATTTTCATCGTTGTCTGCCTTATCTTTCAAATCCTTATCATAACATGATCTTGACTTTAGTCTTTCTTGCTGCATACACTGAGTATCATCATCATCGTCAAAATTTTTCCCAGCACTTGGTGGAAATCGTTTCAAACCATGTTGAAATGGATTCACATATCCTACTTCTGATGATTCCTTATCGCCTTTCATGTTCTCCCTTGAAAATTCCACAGACCTTGATGGAGAATCTGCGTTCATCAGTTCATCATTAGGCAAATCATTAGATTCTTCTTGAACGTTCGTTTCCTGATTACGCTCAGCATCACTTTTCTTTGACCAAACATCTTTTGGAGTCAACGAACGTTCCATGATTTTTTCTAGTTCAATGGCGTCTTCTGCGCTCACTGTATTCTTCTGCAATACTTATGCTTGTTTCGAACAGAAGAGTATTGTGACATTCATCAAACTAATTTACAGACAATTATTTAAATTTCATACAAACAAGATTGTTAGCGAATGGTTATATAAAATATTGTGCATATTATATAAATGAATATTGCTGATTTATTCTCGAAGCCTAAACAGAGCAAATCAATCATTATGCTCTATGTTTTGATCTGCTATGACTTTATCTTACCACTAATTTCTCCTAAATCATCGAGAATAGGAATATAAAATTTTTAATTTCGATAGTATATGAGCTATATGAGCTTTCATAAATTATATTTTTGAAGCCATTACCATTCTGAAATATTCTTCTAGAGCTTTTACATAACGACTGAGTTTTGGCTCGCGAAACGGAAATGTTTGAATATCCTGTTCTGATACAAGAGCTAAGTCGCCAATGGTTACAACACCACGAGTACTCAATAAAGACCGAAGAGCAAGAGCACTTAAATAGAAAATAATTGTAGAATAATATTTAATAAATAGAAAAAGAGGAATATTACGGAATAAAAGCTTACCTCATTGTTGGAGCTAATTTCAGATATATCTGAGGAGGGATCAATTCCACAGAATTTACAAGTGGCGGGAAGGATGCTTTAGTAGGGTCCTTATTTGTAAGTATTACAGGTGAACGTTGCTTTACTAATGCAATCTTCTGAGGACGTTTTTTCAGCTAAAATAGAAAACGGCAGTATTATTAAACTTAATAAAAAATTGCAGCGATCATGAATTTTGCTTGAACGTGAAGTAAATGCATACTATACTACTTAATATCATGCTGTTTGAAAAATTAAATAAACATCTCCTCTAATAGCAACTTTCAATTCATACATACTTTAATCTATGCCAATGAGCACATAAAACGATGTATACTTGAAATTACATAAAAAGCTACAGCAGCGATGAAGGATATGAAAATATGCATATGTTGAAAAAATTTGCCGTTATATTGGGGAAGAGCGAAGACCGTGGACTTCGATAATATCTTTTTTTTGGTGGGCCGTGAATATCATCGTCATCGAGAGTGGAGGCATCAAAGTGAACATGCTTGCTCTAAACGACAGGGTATCATTTCTAAATGCATATAAGTAGAGATTGATTACTATTTAAACTGCAACAGAAAAAAGCAACTAATTGAAAAATTTATTGTTAGCGCTCCTCGTGTACTGATGATTCTCATTTATATTCAGTAAAGATTAATCAATCATAAAATGATGAATGACGATTTTTTCGCTCATTTATAGACTAAAATAATATACTTTAAACTGTTTGAATACATTTTTTGCGCTGGCAGAAGAAGAATTGAAACTTGGAGTAGTTGCTCTATTCGCCAAATTTTTTAAGATGCTGGTGGGTGTTCTCGGTGATGCAATCACATTTTCTTTTGAAATAATAACGCTCAGACTGCATTCTACACTTTTCTGAAGCTCACATCATCTTTGAAAAATCCAGACACTATTTAAAATTAAAACACTGCTTTTTAAATAATGTAATAATGCGATCTCTTAAATATGGTGATCAACGCCTTCAATTTTCAGATCAAATCTTTCTAATTTACTTTTCAAAAAACTATTATCCTTAATATATCATGACTGAATTCTGATGAAGCAAAGCTTTTTAAAAAATTACGGGCGATCCGTGTAGACTTGAAAAATTCACTGCTTGTAAACTCTGAGGACTTTTATCTTCTGAATTTTTATCAAGCAAGGTTATTCCAAAGCTATCATCATTTGTATCCTTGATACCGACATCATCTTTAAAAAAATTCACAGAAAAAATTACAGCTATCCGAAATTATCAAAAAACTATCACTAAACGATCAACCTTCTTAATAAGTTTTGTACTAAAATGATATGGCGAAATTGTACTATGTTCTCAAAAACCAAAAAAATGAGGACTAAAACACTTACAATATTTTAAAATGAGAAATCGCTAATAACAGATCAATGAATTTAACAATAGTAAATTTGAAGTGAGCAAATTTTGAGCGGCAATTTTTTGAAAATTAGGATTGATCTCAATGTATATGACATTCAATGCAAACGTTCATAATAATAAAAAAATACAAACCTACAGAATTCTTATTCGATAGTTTGCCACATTCTATAACTTCAACATTCGAAACATCCTGGAAAAAATCATACAAAATCACAAATATAATTGATAGGAAAATTTCAATACCGAATATTTTAAACTGCATGAATTCAATGCTCAAAATGTGAACAATATTTTAGGAAAAAATTAGAAATTAATGCATTATAATTCTCAAACAAAAAATTGAAGATACGGTATTAGAGTCTTATCTGTCTAACTTTTTATGCAGTCGAATATTATTTTAAAGACAACCTGACTTTTGTGTTGTATGGAAATATCAGTTTCATCCTTTTCAGTTTTTTCACTTTTAGAATTAGACTGTGTCCATGACCTTTTTTCCAAAGAATTTGTTGTTACCAATCTACAAGATCACTTTTTTAAATTTATAAACTCCTCTAAAATTCTACCAGTGAATAGCATTCGAGAATTTTTGCTAGATTTTTCTTTTACAACAAGCATACAATTCACAAACAAACCCATCAAGAGAAGAACTATCAGTATATCCTGGAGGAATGCGTTTTTTGAAGTCTCTCGATTCGCTTTCTTCAGCAAAACATAGCAAGCTATCACTGGAACAAATAATAACTCATTTTAAAAAATAACCATATATTTTTGAAAAATCAAAGTTCATAAATATCATATTCAAACCTTTGTTCCATCAATTTTTCTTTTTGATGATCTGTTAGTCGTATTTTCTTTACAGGTATGGAACTGATAACAGTGTAATTTTCAGTACTTTCCCTCGTTAAAGACTTTGATATTTTTGGCTCCGACAGAGAAGGAAGTGGACCATCAAGTAATAGCTTTTGAATTTTCTACAATTTTAACACACACACCATTAATTTTTAAATGCACGCGGTTTACAAGCAAAATTATTTATTTATTATTTCATATTTTATATCGTAATTTTCTACATCTGAACTCTATGCACATCGACATTATAGATAAAGGTGTGATAAAATCAGAAAGGAAGTCATACAAAAGAAGACCGCAAAAACGATGCTTTTTATGTCATAATTTTTGGAAAAAATTGCTTTGTTTTATGTGGTTTCAGTTTATAGTTTCAATAACCTTTTCGTTGCTGTTACAAGCATTTTCATCCACAGGAACATCAAGGTTTGAGTTAGAGGATTTAGCCCCTCTTGAACTATCTTCCAAAGACAAACATTCTTCTTTTGAAGAGAAGGTTGATGAGAGATATTTGTTTTTTCCCAATGAAATGCTGAAAACACAATTTTGTACAAAGATAAATTATCGGAGAAAAACTCTGCTCACTCTCTTAATTTTAGTTTTGACACCATATGTGGATAGATTTTTCAATCATTTAAGTAATAATTATACCAGGCAATTTAATCAGCAACGACAAAAAAATTCTCTCTAATACATGGAATAAAATAGTAAAAGACTTGAGGAACTCAGAAAGCGAACTGAGTATTGAAAATAAAAAGGTTCAAAATTTAATTTCCGGTACGAAAAATCAAAAATTGCTGAAGAATTTCTTGTCAGAAATGCAGAGAAAAATAGAAAAACATTAATAAAAGACCATACTGAGAAAAATGCACATACTTCAAATCATCTGAAACGCTCAAATTTTTTGAAAGGCCAAATGTTCCTTGCCAAAATTTGATTAAGTGCTGACGTATACGTGAGAAGCGAAGCCCATTAATCAATATTGGTTCCAACTGATGAAGCAGTACACTGCCGTATGGACCAGAATAATGTTTTTGTATGGAATTCAAAGCTACTTTTACTAATGAGGCAATCTGAATGAATAGACCTTAATTTCACGAAATTTCAGTACACAAAATAGGACATCATTTTCTACCACAAAATGAAAAGTTTTGACATTAATGATAAGAAAAAATGGAATTTTTTAAAGTAAATTATTAATAATGAAAGTACACTAACATTTGAAAAAATTTTAGAATTTATACGCGACTTTTTTTCCACAGCGACAACTAACCAACTTCCTATGAATGTTGCCAAGGAAGAGATGACAAATATAACGTGTGATGCTTCAGTCATAAGAGAAATTAGACTTGTTGATGCTTCCAAGATATTAAGCGAGCATTTAGGCAAATAATCTGCTTGAATTTCCTGGAATATTGACTTTTACAATATAAAACTTTATCTTTAGAAGATAAAAATTGCTATAGTACTGTTATATTGCTTTCGTTGTGAAAATATAGGAAATAGTAATACTGTATAAGTTACACAGGTCCCAATGTGAAGAATAAAAATCTACGGGTATGTATTTCAATTATTTTCGTTGCCCTGCAACAACGGCTTACTCTTAAGTTGCAATCTAATTCGTCGACTTCACTGTTGAGATGTTTCGTAATCTCAATCAACAATCTGCAAAACATATCCAGAACGCTCCCTTTTCCGGTTGTATCAAAATCTGAAATCAGAGATATATAACTTCTATATTTATATACAAATTCAAATTTTTATGAAATCCTGATATATATTTGCTGATGCTTCCAAGACACTAAGTATGCATTATCTCAATGAAGCATCAAAAGTTTAATTATTACAAAAAATTATTCAGTGAAGTAAAAAATCCCAGATAATATATCATCTAAAGTAAAAACATAAGTGGGTGCCTCAACAAATAAATGCAATAAAATAACATTTATGGTCAAAAATAATTTGAAATGTGAAAGCAAACCTCCAATAAACACGTTTTTGAGAGTATCATAATCAAAACATTCGATTTGAGCTCGAATTATCTGCGAATATATGAAAAGTAAGCGATAATTCATCTGGAATATTTCGGAGTAACTGATTGAAACGTAAGAATAGTAGGAAACATCAATATTTTAAAATGGAAAAATTTTTGGATTTTATCAAAGTTAAGCCAACAATGAGAAATCAAGTGCTTCTACTCTAGTATAAAGGATAATAATGACAACACTAATTATCTAGAAATTCTTATTATGATGTGAATCAACGTCTAATTAATAGTAGTAAGACTGATCTTGCTAACTGAAATAATTTTATACAACTTTTTGCCAATTATATCAAGATGCTAACTGAAACTTTATCAAATTCGATCATTTGTTTCATTTTCTCTGCTAATCCAGCAGCAAATCTACAACATAGATCAGAGTCACAGGAACACTTTTCAATAACTTTATCATAGAGATTCTTCCAAGCTTCGAAAATATATCGCATATCTCTCTGAAATATCATAAATTTTTAAGAATCAAAAACTAATTTTTTAAGATAAAAATTATGTTCACATAAATTTTTTGGTTTGCATTTAAATAAGATCCGATTTTTTACATTGTTACTAAAGCTTACCACTTTTACACTGATTTTGTCGCCAATTTTTATATTCAGAACGATCATCAAAATTTTCTTTGCTTCTTCTAGCCTTTCTTCAGAATTCATTTCATTTTCCTAAATATTTTTTTTGATGTCGCTTTTACAAGACACAAAAAGTCATTACCAGTAATGCACTGATTATTCATGGCAAATTGACTTTATTCTACTCTATCAAAAATAGTAACAATTTCGAACATATCTTAGACAACACTAATTTCCTGCGTTAAATAGTGCGATAAAGTAAAAATTCTATTTCCAATATTAAAAATTAATGATTCAACCTTTGATTGACAAAAATTATTAGCAGTTTCAATCCATGAATTTGTTGCTTTTTCCCACATTTCAAAGCTTTCAAGTGTTTGACAGATCCGTCTAGACCCGATACTGTTAGCACACAATTTTTTGGGCAAATCCTTCCGTCTTAAAATTTTTCATTCATTAATAAAATTCCTTAGCACAAAAATGAGTGATGAAAATATTGTGCACATCTGAAGAAACAATTAAAATTAAATGAAACATTTTTCATTTGCTCAATTTTTTTAACAAAAAATTTTAAAAATTTTCATATTACAACAAAATAATGCAATCATCATACATACTACTGTTTCTGTACAATTCTTTGCCAAAATTTTTAGTCAATTGAACTAAGCTGACTAAGTTTTCAATCACAAAAATTCTTTACAATAATAAAAACAGATGATATAATAAATGATTTTTCGGATTACAGGTCACCATTTCTATTTTTAGATCACTGCATATGCATTCAAAAATTGATGACCGTTACTAATATTTGCATATACAGCAGTGAATAAAACAATTTAAATGTAAACTTTTTAAAATCTGTTATGACAATAATTAAAATTATTGCTCTCAATGTGGTAATTTAGGCGGCAACGAGAGTAGTTATGCAAATATAAATTTTTTAAGATAAGAACTGACTAACTTTTGCTTTGGTTTGACCATATTGTAGCACACAATCAAAGATTTCAGCAAACTGAAATAATGAATTGATACTTATGTTGACGTAAAATGAGACTCGTACTACTTTTCCCATTAACTGCCTACTTACACCTGTTGTAATAATCGAGAACATCAATATCCTAATACAATAAGGCAGAGATTTGCAATTTTCATTCAAGCCTCGAAATTCAAATTTAACCTTCGCGCTAATTCTAGCAAGAGATTTTTATTTTGAGACACTTCTCCGATTTGACCTTGGCAATAACAGTATGAAGATTCGATTGAGTGAGAACAAATAGAGTAGAGTGGAGGGGAGAGGAATAGAATTGCACAGTACTGATTAGATTCTAGTGAAAATACACAGTATTGTATGATATTACTGAATTATAGAAAAAACAGTCATGCAGTTTTGTTCTTTACACTCGAATGTAAGTTCGATATTAGGCAAGACTTCAAGTTTTTGGTAACAAAAATAATGATATTGATTTAAATTAGTATTTGAAATACTATTAATAATTCACCTTTGACCTCAATGTTATTTATTTATTCTTACTCATTATTAAATGAGTAGACATTGTAATCTTAGGCAAAAAATTTTGATTGCAAAAAGTTTACAAGAGACTTTTTTGAAATATTTCTGAGCAATTTTATAGGGCCAAAAAATAAAATGTAAACATATTAGTTTTGAATAATTTTGTCTATACTTAGTAGTGACAATATACTTGATACTTACTTATATTTCAAAAGTTGTACTTTCAAATTGATAGACATGAAAGTTATGCATTCATATTTTCTCTTCAATAATTGCTTAAGATCGAAACTTCCTAAAATAGTTGGAGCTAATATGTTTTTATAATTTAAATTTTAAAGCTTAAAAGTTATGATTTTTGCTACAAAAGAATTAATTTGCATAAATGAAAATTTTGCTGAAATTCAATTTACACATGCGCATTACTACAAATACTTTACTATGCCGCATTACTTTCTACGTTATAATAATACCTTAGTTATATTATTAAAATTACCGATGTAAAAATTTAATTTTTATCTTACAGTTTCAAAATATAAGACTTATTAATTATCTGAATTAATTATGCATGTGCAAATAAATACAGAAAGAGTATTGTTTTTTTTTCTTTGCAATCTGAATGTATAATTAATTCTTCTTCAAAAAACAACTTCAACAAACTTCAGAAAGTTCACAATTTATTGTGGCAAGCAAATGCAATCGATAATTTCACTCCACGTTTACGTTTATTGTCAGTTCAAACATGCTTACGTACTTGTTACGTTAACTTTAAATGCATTTAAACTCATAACGATAGCTAAATCTAAAATTTGACCTCTCATACTAAGCACTCAAGTTTGATGTTTTCATGCTTTATTCTTCTTAATTGACTTAAGTTCAGAAACAGGTCAAAATTTGTAAGGAATCTGACGAGTAAAGAAATGCATAATAAATTTTTATGTGTAATAAAAATAAAAAGTTGTGAACTTTTTTGAAATTTGTTCACTAAAACACAAGGAGTAGCACACACTACCCCTCTCAAATGAACTGATTCTTATTTTTTGGATAATTCTACCAGTGCTGTTGTCGATAATATGAGTGTTGCGGCCAAGAGTATGAGAGTTGAGGTCAGGAGTGCGAGTGTTGGGGTCGAGAGTGCAAGTGTTTGGGGGTCGAGAGTGCAAGTGCTGAGGTCGAGAGTGCGAGCGTTGGGGTCGAGAGTGCAAGTGCTGAGGTCGGGAGTGCGAGTGTTGGGGTCGAGAGTGCAAGTGCTGAGATCGAGAGTGCGTGTATTGAGATCGAAAGCTATTAGTATGTCTCATAACAATCTCCCGTTTATTTCCTCTACAATTTTTTCTCTAATATATTTTCTTAGAAGACTTTTATTATATAAATTAACTACTAGATAATAATTAATTCTTTTATTATAAAAATTAAATAATGAATAATAATTAATTTCTTCAAAAATTTAATTAGTTACGTACGTGTTCTGAAATCTTCAATTTCAAATATAATCTTACTAAACTGAATAAATCTTGAAAATTTTTGACTTAAATTGGCTATTTTTTTCTGATATATTAATTTTCTAGTGCTAATTTTTATATCTTAGTTTGTTGCTAATAGTACATAAATTAAAAGAAATGCAACTTGTAATTAATAATTTATTTTAGATCACTTTATTTTTTATCTAAAATTGTATCTTTTTTTTTGCATAATTTTTTAATCGTAGGGATTTTTGCCTAAATTTTAATAAAATAGCTTAAAAATAAAGCAAAATTTGATTAATTTGTATTTGCTTTAACTTTTCACGCATATTTCAAGCGTTCTTCACGCTTTAGTATTTTCTAATCTTTGAATATTTGCTTATTTCACTTCAAGAACCGATAAGTATACAAGTACTAAAAGCACTGAAAATTAAGCTCTTGAAGTCTTTTTACTTCAAGCTTACATTCGAATGTTTATTTCAGTTCAGTTAATATCTAAAATTGTACCAAAATTGTTGCTATATGAAGTAATAAAAGCCTATCGTCAAACGAATTGAGTTCAAATGGTTGCTGAGGATTAGAGTTAAGAAAAATGTTATTATTAACAAAATAATGAACTATTTGCCACTTTCAATCTAAATGAATCTGTAATTTTTCATGCAACAAATAACTTAAAGTAACTATAAATAACTTATTATAACTATAAATTACTTATTATAACTACAAATAACTTATAATAACTAACTGTAAACAGTAAAAAGAGTTAATTAACAAAAATGATTATCTTTTTAGTTAAAATTACAGTTAAAACTCAAATTATTATATTCCAGAATATCAGTTATAAACTATCAAAAGTGCTTCAATTAGCTTTCACTTATTTTCTTTCTATCACTTTATCCTAGACTTTTGCTTTCTTACGGGTCATTTTTCAAGCTAAGTCTAGTACTAATTCTTGCTCTTACTAGGGATTATTTTTTATTGTGCATGAAAACACTAAAAGTAAAATATGAAGTAAGCTTAAGTTTGGTATTAATCTATTTTCATTAAAGGAGTTTTTAAATGAATAAACAAGCGAAATGAGTTGAATCTTTTGAAAATAAGTGTTATTTCTATATCTGAATAATAAATATTTAATAATTATCAAAAGTAAAAAATCGTAATAATAATTGCTATTCAAAACAGTAACACATTTTTATATTTCATTTATGCATTTATTTATTATTTCGTTTATAAATTTACTTTTTTTATTTCTGAGAAAAGTTTTAATACTCGTATATACTTGAACTAAAATTGCATTTTTCTTTAAAGACAAGAAAAATTTAACTTCCAGTTATGCAAATCATACTTATTCTTCATAACTTCTTGAAATAATACAAAAATTTATCTGTACAACAATTTTCAGTTTAGTTCTACTTTCTCATATGTGTGGGAATCTCTTTGAATTGTATAGCTTATTAGTCATACGATCAAATATTACACTATAAAAAGCAGAATAATTATTTAAATTGCTTACAGATTGCAGTAATATTCATACATTTTTTGTTGCATTGCATTTTTGCATACAAAAATTTAGTTCTTTTTTGATATTTTCAAAAAATTTATGAAAAAAGAATAAATACTATTTTATTTATTGCTTTTTGTTTAAAAAATAAGCCTCTCAAAACTGTATTTATTTTATTTTATATATAATTACTTATTTCTGTAAATAAGTGATAAACAATAAAGAAACAAAAAAGCACTTACTAATAATTCAGTACAATAAAGCCACAATATTTTTCGTTAATAAATTTATTTCTGATAAAATTTTTATATCACGTTGTTTAAAAGTGATTCAGCGAAATTCATCACTATTAATAAATGCCTTTTTTTTTTGCTAAATAATTATGAATAATTAATATTAATATATTACTGACTGATTGCTTGCAAAAGTTGTTTGCGCTTTGAGCATTTCACATTTTGCTCAATTTGTCGTTATTATTAAAACTTTCGTGAAATGCAATTTTTTACGTGTAAATAGACTTTAAAAAATTTGCAAGAAAAATTTTAAGCTTTTATTAAACAACGGAAGCTGTATGAATTTATTAGAATGATATTTATATGATATTTATTATTAG